CAAGCACACATACCATCTCCTGCTGTTTCCTCAGCAAGACTAACAGGAAGCTGGATCAGAAGCCAAGCAGCCAGGCCTTAAATCAGCACGCCAACATGGGATGCCATGCCCAATTTTGTCCAACCATATGACAATGTGAGTGTTCTGGGCACATTTACTGGAAGCTTGGCTGAGCACTGATGCTTAGTATATTAGTTGTAGTATGTGTATTTTTGCTGGATTTTTAACTTGACAGGCGCACCAGGATGGACCCCATCTGAAGTGAAGGAATATCTGTGATTCTCCCCCTAATATTTACTCACATGGTCTCTGCCAGATTTTGCAAAGAACTTGTTACACATCTCTGAATCCTCCCGACAAGTCCTTTGTTGTTATTCACATTGCAGCAGTGAGGGAACTCAGGCCCAAGGACAAAGAACTGGTCCCAGGACACAGCTTGGGATGTGCAGCCAGGGCCTGAGGAGTGCTGGCAATCCGCCTTCCTCTGTGCAAGGGGCCTCCAGCTCCCATTCTGCAAAAATCATCGCAGGGCAAAGAGAAGGTGGCACGTGCAGGTAGGTTGCCAAGCAACATGGCTCTGAGAGTCATTTTGAGAAGGTCACAAGAGCCCTTGTGACTCTCGCCACTGAGTCACTTGATCATGCACCAGGGGCTTCTTTAGCATTTCTAGCAAACCCCAGGAGGGCAGAGGGCACAGGACATCTTCAGGCCACGGTCCCTTGTGTCAGGGTGAGAGGCCCAGTGGGAATAGGGTACTCCCACATGCCTAATCTCACAGCACAAAGACACAACAGTTGTCCACTGGAAGAACAAATGAAGGAATGCAAAAAACTAAAGAAACCATTCCACAGCAATTCAATGTAGAAAAAAAATTCTTAAGATAAAAAACAGCAAGGTTAGTGCCATAGCGTAGTAGGCTGGGCTTCTATTGGCTCTGGCATCTTATATGGTTGCTGGTTTCAGTCCCAGCTGCTCCACTTCCAATCCAGTTCCTTGCTAATGCACCTGCGAAGGCAGTGCAGAAAGGCTCAATTCCTCAGGTCCCTGCACTCATGTAGAAGATCCCAAGGAGACTACAGGCTCCTGGCATAGGATCGGCTTACTCCAGCCATTTTGGCCATTTGAGGGGTGAACCAGTGGATGGAAGATCTCTTGGCCTATCCTTCTTTAACACTGTCTTTCAAATAAAAATAAATAAATCTTAAAAAGAATAATAATAAAAACCACCTACAAGTAATGAAGACCCATCTGTTCACTTCATTTGGCACTTTGAGAGTTAGGGTTCTCTTACCGTTTCTCCAGACAAGTACTGCTGTCCGCCCTGCAAGTTCATCCTCCAGCGAGAATGATTCCTTGCAGGAACCACGTGATCTTAATGCACGGAAGAATTTCAACTAGATGTATTTCAAATTTAACCCTAAATTACAGTCTTTTCAAATAACTCCGCTCTCCCCTCTGCTTCTCTCTCTTCAATTTTGGTTTGGTTTTGTGAGAGGTCTGCTGGTAAAAATGAAGCAATACCAGTAACCTATCTACAAATTACGGGAAGGAGAAAGTAGGTTAAAAAGACCAAGAAACTTAGAACAAGTACGATGAAACCACATCCGAGTCAGGCAGGAAGCAACAGGAGCCTTCTCGCTCATGGGGAAGGAAGGTGAATCGCAACAGGTCTGTGTCGTACAAGTCATGGGGGGCATCACCTTGCGCTCAGCCCGGACAAGCAGATTGCAGCAAGCTGTCCCTGGCCGGAAGTGGGGAACCATCACTTTCTCTTGGGCTGGTAATTCCTTCCACACCAGAAAGAGCCTGGTTTTCAATTCAGGGACCCACCACAACTGATAGCGGGTGGGTCCCAAAGGCAGTCTGTGCCTCTCACAGTGGAGGTGGGACCTTCACCCCAAGGAAGTCCAGGTCTCTTGCGCACTCCTTGGGTTAGGGAGGCCCACCTGAAGCATGTAGCCCAAGTGGAAGGCATCAGAGACCTTCTGCAAGCTGCTCAAACTGTAAACCCCACACAGCACAATGTCAATATCCCACTTGTGACAATGTACCAGATTTTAGCAAGCGGTTACCAGTGAGCCAAACTGGGGAAGATCTCTCTGTGAATCTACAACTCTCTGAGTAAAAAATTCCAATTAAAAAAAAAAAGATGTATATGGATAGGTGAAGAAAATGGGGTAAGTGCTTCTAATGGAATACTACTTAGCCTTACAAAAAGAAGGGAGAAAGAACCCGAACGCTGTATAAGAGTGCTGTTTTGAGCCTTGGTTACTCCAGTTCCAATCCAGCTTCCTCCTGGGAAAGCAGCACAAGATGGTACAAGTACTTGGATTCCTATGTCTGGGAGACCACCGATGGAATTTCTGGCTCCTGATTTCAGCCTGGCCCAGCCCAGGCCATTGTGAGCATTTTGGGAGGGAACCAGAAGATACGAGTGTTCCCTCTGTTACTCTTTCAAATAAATAACTAAAATATTTAAAAAAAAAAAGGGGGGGGGTGGGGTTGGGAGAGTGGGTATTGGTGCAGGGCTTAAGACAATCGTGTCCCATATGGGAATGCCTGAGTTCAAGTCTTAGTTCCATTACTGATCCCAATAATGGACAATAATAACATGCTATTTATTCATTTCAAAAGAAAATTAAAAATCTCATAGTAAATGTTCTTACTACAATTTCAAAACTCTTGGAGGAGAGGGCATTTAGCCAAGCAGTTAAACGACACTTGTATCCCACCTCGGACCATCTGGGTTGAACTCTGGACTCCAGCTCTGCTTCCTGTTAACGTAGACCCTGGGAGGCAGTGCTGATAGCTTAATTGGGCTCCTGCCGTCCATAAAGGAAACTGCACTGTTTCCAGCTCCTGGCTTCAACTCCATCCTGGCCCTAGCCACTGGAGGCATTTGGGGAAGAAATCACAGGATAGGTGCACACATTATCTCCAATAAATTAAAAAAAAATTAATTCAGAGTCCCAGCTATCCCAGAGTTCCTCTTTTTGAGCACCAAGTGTAACTCTGGCACTGTACCAATGTCTACATGAACACAGTAAAGCCTGCTTCTATCCTGGGGGGTAAGACTCACAAGACACACAGAGTGCAAGGGGAGCCACTACATCTCAGACTGTCAGCACTGAGGATGGAGCCCCAGCAGCAGGCCAGATGGAGACAAGGCCAAGTTAATGGTGAACACATGGCCCTGCGAAGCTTTCTGCAGAAACACAGGCAAAAGGGTGCCCAGATCTTCTGACTGCCCAAGAAATTCCAGAAATCCAGACTTCATGTGAAAGTTTGTAAATTTAATGCTAGCAGTTCATAAAGTTTTCTTTTAAAGCTCCAACGAGTGACCTAAACAGGTGTGCAAGCCTGGCTGTCACTAGCTGGGCTTTCTGGCAGCCTCTGTAACCTCAACCACAGGGGCTCACTCGCCCTGTTCTCTATGTGGAGTCAAACACTTGCCCAGGGTCCCAGCTGTTGGGCACACAACCTCATATCCTGGTTCTTGCTTTCACTTGGCCGAAGCTAGCTGGACAAGTTGCAGAGAATTATCTCAGAAACCCAGACTCTGCGTCAGCAGCACATGTTCCAGACCATGTGTTGTCAGCAGAAGGGCCACAGGGCTTCTCTCCTGTCCTACACCAGTCATCTCCCCTGAAAGTTTTACCCTCCCACCGATGGTCCTCCATCTCAGCAAAGCACGTGTGAGAGCCGAGACAGTACCCCTGCTTGTCTACATGACCTACATCTGTCTCCCCAACTGGATGCAAAGCTCCAATGCAACAGAGATGATTTAAGGTTTTGCATATCCCCCAGAGCCAGCAAGCTGCCTGACCCAAAGAAAGGGCTTATTTGCTGAACAAATCGAGACAGAAGCGGCCAGACAGCAGCCATGGAAAGGCTCCATCTGATACAGCTGGACTAACAGCCCCACCAACAAGGACACAGCTTCTGGGAACCTTTGTAGAGGCTCAAATGCTCCCCTGAAGGGTCAATTGGCCTGCTGAGGCCACTGGACGGCAGCAAATCCAGAAGGGCAAGCCATGCAGTGTCAGCCTGCCACAGCCAGGATTACATCCCACCCACTCACTCAGGTGTGCCACAGGCTAGGATTCCAGGGCGAACGGGCCCTTTCATCCAGTGTGGCACCCACCTAAGCCCCTGGCTGTGGAGACCGGCCTTTTAGGAAATGGCCCTTGTACAGAGTATTTCGGGCTCCTCTCAAATATGGAAGCCAAGCCCACAGGAGCCGTGCCCTGACAGGCAAAGTGCCTGCCCGACAGGGCTTGGAGAGGATGAGATGTTAGACAAGAGGGCGTCAGGCACCTAGGGACCTCCTGGTCTGTACATATAGCAAGGACACAGGCAGAGAGCAGAGAAGCGGGTGAATTGGCGTGGTACTGAGGCAGTGTGGAACTCAGAGAGGGGAATGGGACAGCAAGAGAAACGACAGTAAAGAGATGATTAGCTGGGAAAGCCTGAGGAAAGGCCACAGCTCCTGCCATGCCACCAGGTACTTTCCTTCAGTAGGCAACAGAGCATGACCACAGCCCTGCAGCCTACATCCATGCTGCACAGCTCACTGGTCACTTCCAACTTGACAGAATGCCAGCTTGTCATCCACATGCCTGCAGGACAACAGGAGCAGCTGCCGACAGAGGAGGCCTGTCCTCTCCACCTGCCCACAGCCCCTCTGCTTCCTAGTGCAGCACAGGAGGCCCACAGCATGACCAGACAGACACTGTACCTTTCCGAAGGTCTCCGTGCCTTAGACGAGACATGCTCTCATTCTGTCGCAGGGTGGTACAATGCTATATTCAGTGATAAATGCCCAATTAGACCGCCTCTAAGTATTGAAGCCCAGGTTTTTCCAGCTATGCATTTCAAGACTCCACTTTGATTCCTACAATCCCAGACCAACTCATGCCTCCTTGTCACTGCAGCAGCAGAATGCTGAGCTTAGAGAAACACACAGATGAATAGCACCAGCAATGGCGTCTTAGACTTACAGAGCTTCTCTGAACATTCAGCTCAGTCTTGGCGTACATTTCAGACAGATCACCATTGAGAATGACTTCAGCTAACGAGTTCACCAGTGGTGCGTGATGGATAATTAGGAAGACCTGGTGGAAAAGAAATGGGATTTGCCTTAATGCATGCAGTGTGTCAACCTCTTCCTTCCCCAACCACAAACACATCCTGTCTACAGCAGCCACCCCTGTGAAGCTTGCTCCAGAGCCTGGGCCACATTCAGGAGCTCTCGGTTACACTCTGTGGAAGTCGGCCGCTCCTTCACACTCCTGGCTGGTGGCTCCTCCTCAGAAGGAAGTGCACTAATGCAAGACCGTCCTCACGGCCCAGGAGAAGCCAAAGCTGCTGAAGTGCAGCAGTGGGAAAGGAGCTGCCAAACCAGCACACCCCTTCCTTTCCAGGAGCATTTCACTGTTGAATTTGATCAAGACCAGAAGGCATTCATTCTGATATTGACATGGGAAATGGTGAATTCTGTTAAAATCCAGGATCCGGCAGAGAGGGATGGCTACAAGACTCCATCCCAGTATGAGCTCCTACCCTGTGCTGGGTTTAGCACTGGGATTCCATGCCAGCAGCAGTAGGTGATTAGACGGAGGGAAGAAAAGCCCCCGGACCACAGGCAGATCCAGTTATGCTAGGATGCAAAAGTCAGAAGACAGGGCTAAAACAGTTCTGCTACCCCGCCCTGTTGCCCAATGTTCCTAGGAGTGGCTTTTAGAAACAGAGTATTCAAAACTGCCTTGCAAAGCTGGCCCAGCCACATGTGCTGGACTATTGTAGATGTAAAGGCAAGACACATGCAAGATTTCCATCATTTGCATATAAACAGGCAGTGTGCAGGTTTGTATTCATTTAGTTATAGATGTGCAGAACAGGGTTTCTCAGTGTTAGCGCTCCTGACAGTCTGAGGGTCCAGGCTTGTCCTGGGCACAGGAAAGCATCCTAGCAGCATCCCTGGCCTCTACCACTGGATGCCAGCAGCAGCACGTCATTTCTCAGTTAACAACAGAGACTCCCAGACACTGCCAGATGTCCACCCTCGCTAAGGACACGGGAAACCCTGAGGCTGCAGCTGTCTCTGGAGATGGAAATCAGGAGCCAGCATTTGAAAGAAAAAGAAAGAAAACTTCTTGGTTTTCATCAGGTTGAACCTTGTAACCTTAAAAAATGCATTTGTATTGTGAAAAACAAAACAAAAACCCAACAAGGAAGAACTGACAAAAACACAGACCGCCTCGGGGAGGAAGGCTTGAGTACTGGGGACAGTAGAAGGCAGCTTTTCCACTGCTTGAACAGGAGTACACTAGGATTCAGACAAATCCACAAAACTCAAATGACGGAAAAGGGACAGCCAGAATAGGCAGATGTGGCACCTATCCAACCAAGAAAAGTACATCTGTCCTTTTTAAAAAAAAGCCAGAGCACATAGCCTGGATCTCGCCTTGCAAGATCCCAGAGAGTGCCAGAGTTTGGGTCCCAACTGCTCCACTTCCCATCCGGCTCCCTGCTTGTGGCCTGCAAAAGCAGAGGAGGACGGCCCAAAGACTTGGGACCCTGCACCTTCATGGGAGACCGGGAAGAAGCTCCTGGCTGCTGGCTTCAGACTGGCACAGCTCCAGCCGTTTGTGGCCACTTAGGGAGCTGCGCCAGTGGATGGGAGATCTCTCTGTCTCTCCTTCTTTCTAGATATTTGCCTTCCTAATAGAAATAAACTAAATCTTAAAAAATAAAAAAAGAAAGAAAGAGAAGGAAGGAAGGAAGAAAAGAAAAGAAAGGAAAAAAAGAAAGAAAGAAAGAAAGAAAAGAAAAAAAAAAAAGAAAAACCCGCAGGGAACTTTGTGATCACATTCCTAACAAGCTGCCCCCAGCCAAGGGCAGAGGCAGGCAGCACTGTGTCCACTGCCAGCGACGGCGACTTGTTCTCCCTGCATCACAGCCCAGTTACTGCCACCTGACTACAAACAAAACCCATCACTGACTCCATGCCATCCACAGCATCTATTAGGCAACTTGTGTGAATGGATCATACCCACTCATTTATTTGTTCTATAATCCAATCCACTGAAATTGACTGAGCACCTACTAAGGGCCCCTGGACAAAGGCCAAAGGTTCCTGCCTGAGGATGCGCATGCTGTTTCGAACAGGCTGCGGGAGGAGACGCATCACAGCAGGGTGATGGCAGCACACCACCGGCCCCACGGGAGCACCACGGCAGGGTGACGGCCCCACGGGAGCACCACGGCAGGGTGACGGCAGCACCACGGCAGCACCACGGCAGGGTGACGGCAGCACCACGGCAGCACCACGGCAGGGTGACGGCAGCACCACGGCAGCACCACGGCAGGATGACGGCAGCACACCACCATCACCAGGCTCTGGGCATGAGCGCTGTGGTCTCAGGCAGATGGCATCACCTGCCACACTAAATCCCTGTCACAGGGCGAATTTTCAGTCTTGTAGCTGTGCCTATAAAGTAATCTGTAAGGATGAACTGATTTATAGGGCTCTCGTAGCTATAAGGACTCAAGAATTATGTCTGGCTTTAGGTTTTCACAAAATTAAGCCACATTATCATTAAGCTAAATGAAATGCAAAGGGAAGAAGAGCTTGCATGCTTTATCTTTATAAAGGATCTATTACTCAAGTCTCAGGAACACTGAATTACACACTAGGTTTTTCGCCAGATATTGAAACAAGTAATTAGGTGCCTGGCGACTGATCCTTCACTGAGGAAACAAGAGGAAGAGTGCTCTTGGCAAGCAGGTGCAACCCTTCTCCACTCAAGCGCCAGTGCGCGCCCTGCAGGAGAACCTACACAAGCAAGGCTGCTGCAGCTGCAGGGCCCTGGCGTGCTTTCCACCACACTCCAAGATGGATTCCCAGCGAGAGATGCTGGCAGACTTGTAACAGAAAAGCTGCCGGGGGGGAGGCTGGGGTTTACACTGGTCCTGAGGCACAAAGGGGCATTCTGAGGGCCCACAGGCGCGTGCAGAGCTCTGAGCAAACAGCCCTAGGACACAAGTCAGGCCACGGCCCTCTCCCCAGCGGCCTACCTGCTACAGGATGCGGTGTCTGAAACTCCAGCCTCAGTCCAAGGGGGAGATGGCCTCACCCCAAACCAGCAGGAGATCAGGAGAGAGGACCATCTCTCCTCTAAGCCTACACACACCTGGGCTGCTGGAGAAGGGGGCACAGAGCAGTGGCCAAACTCTGACTTCTTGACAATCTAATGCAATGGCCTGCGAGTCGGCACTGCTTGTAATAAAAATATTTTCAAAGTTATGTAACTAGGTCACCATGGAGTTTTTCCCTTCTTGTAAATATTACATAATTACAAGAAGGAAACACACTTGTTTAAGGAGGGCAGACAGACACATTGGCTCAAGACACAAAACCGGGAACTGAGGCTGCTATAAGGGCCCTTTCTGATAGTAATCTGGGACTCAAAACCCCAGCAAACCTGACAATGGCCTCACTACAGGACATTTGCTAAAGCAAGGCTGCTGTGGGAATGCGCAGGGCGGGCCATACAGCTCGGGCCTCATTTCAGAGGCTCGTGAATCAGCGGCAGGCAGCTTACAGATCCAGGGTATCGAGAACACTCTCTGGGGGTTTTGGAAATCTCGGTTTCTGTGGTAAAAACTAACTAGCAGCTAAGGTTCTTGCTTTGCACGTGGCAGGATCCCATATAGGTGCTGGTTCTAATCCTATCAGCACCACTTCCCATCTAGTTCCCTGCCTGTGGCCTAGAAAAGCAGTAGAGGATAGCCCAGAGACTTGGGGGACCCGGCACCAGCGTGGGAGAGCTGGGGGAGGCTCCTGGCTCCTGGCTTCGAATCGGCTTGGCTTCACATTGGCCCAGCTCCGGCCGTTGCGCTCACTTGGGAAGTGAATCACGAATGGAAGATCTTCCTCTCTCTCATCTCTTGTATATCTGACTTTCCAATAAAAATAAATAAATCTTAAAAAAAAAAAAACCTACACAAACACCAAGTTTAATTCTCTCCTAATTTCTCTTTAAATCTCTTTCCCCTCCCATGAAGAAGACACCTCCTGAGTGTCTGGAAGAGAGAACCCTTATTGTGCACACAATTTCACCGAGATGAGGAACGCGATGCGAGCCGAGGGCTCTCTGAGCTGCACGGGCTTGGGGACCCGGGGAGGGAGGGACAGACCATACCTGAGATAGCAAATAGAGAGACACGGGCAAGCTGATCTTCGGTCGCTCTCCTCCCTAAGAAGGTTGGGATAGGGAGAGGGAGGGAGGGAGGAAGAGAGATGGAGAGAGGCATCCAGGTCACAAAAACAAACAAACAAAAAAACATAGGATAAGGAAGCCGCAGCTGCCTGTTCGCACCCCAACCCCCTGACTGCCCTTTCCCAGTACTGGTCAAAATTCCGCTCTGCAGAAGACACACACAGCCCGGCTTCACGCCACCCTGTTCTCCCTCCTGCACAAGCCCTCCTCATTGCTCCTGGGGTCAGGATACAACTTGCTCCTCGAGTTGCCAGGAGCCTCTATTGCCTGCCATGGCAGCAGAGGCCAGGGGAGGCGGCTCTCAGCATGGCGGCTCCTAATGCAAAGGATGGACATCGTGGCGCTGAGGCCTCAGAAAAGCTCTCCTTGTGCTGAGCCCCCAGATGTCCACCTCATACCAACCCTGTGAAGGGGAGCCCTTGCACCCCTCACCTGCAGCTGAAGAAATGGGCCAAGGTCACACAGTTAGCAAAAGCAAGAGGCAGAACTGGAAGCTAAGCCTGGAAACCCCACTTCCCAGGGGCACACCTCTGGCTGTAGAGCTGCCTCTGGCCCATCTCACCAGGCTGGGGAGCGCACTGCATTGCTCACATGTGGTGAGCATGCCCATGCTTCCCCCACAAAGGGAGACAACATCCTCTCAGGGTTCATCTGCAAGGCGACCAGATGGCTGGCCCACCTCCTGCCACAGCCCCATTCTTTCTTGGCTCCCCTGAACTTGCAGGGACTGGACAGAGACCTCCCTGCCTCAAAGCAGTCTCTTGGGGGCATTCTGAGCCCAGCAGCACAGCACCTCCCAGGCCTGGTGGGGAGCAGGGAGTAAATGTGCATGTTCTTGCCCGCGCCCTGACCTGCTGAACCAGAATCCCCAGGAGGGGAAGGGCAGACCCAAAGGTTGGCACCCGCCCTCCCCCAGGGGCCTCCATGTTGCACACAGGGCAGTCACAGCCCTGGGAACTTGCCCTGAGGGTGTGCCATCCTTTCCTATCCATTCTGGGCCAGTCTGGTTGCTGTAGGGATTTTCTCTAAGGCAATTAGCTCTGTCAACAATCAGAAAAGTGACTGGGCCTTATAATACTTCAGGGTAGGGTACTAAAAACCAAACTCCTAAATTCCTCAGGTTCCTTTTAGTTGCCCCCGGGGCAGCAGCTGCAGGCCCACCTTGTCCTGGTTCTCCAGGGAGTACACGTAGAGCGGCAGGAAGAGCCTGTTGAGCAGGTGGTCAGTGAGCACATCGTTGAGGAACTCGCAGTTGATGATCAGGATGTCGTTGAGATAGTGCAGGTGGTCCAGGTGCTCAGCCACCAGGTCACTCAGCTTCCCCCGATTCCGGTGCCTGCAGAGTAAAGAACCACCTCAGCCTGAAGGCCAGAGAGCAGTGGCTTGGAGTTTAAAATCACCAGCCTGAGACGTGGGTCCCAGGCCTTGCCTCACACAGCCAACACTTGGGCAAGTCTCCAGAGACATTTGTTCCAGCCCCTACCTGGAGCCACGCCAAGGGGACACGGACATGTCCAGGACCATGCTCAGGAGATCGCAGGGGCCTTGGTACCACCCTTCCTACCAGAGTCCAGAACAGGCTGGACAAAGTGGAAATGGCTGAATTCTTAGAGTGAGCCAATCAAGCATGTCATAACATCCCACCTCACGCAGCAACAAAGCCTGGCCGTTAGAAGGTTCCAGAAGAGTGTGAGGGAGAAATGTGGCCATACTCCGTAGCTGTGCCCATAGCACTGGTCCCGGCCCCACAAAGGGCAGAGAAGAGGGGTGTACTGTTCCTGCAGGCGTCCCCCTGGGCTTCAGTCTCTCTCTCTAACACCAGAGTCGGTCTACACGCCAGGAGGATGAGCCAGCAGGGAACAGCTCGGGCCTCACCCGGAGCACCCACAGACAGCACCCAGCTACGGTCAGCACTGTGTCTATTACTTTCCAAGTGACACTTATCTTAGAAAACATTCAAAAGAAAACTAAAAAAAACAAAAAAAACCAAATCAGTCTCCCATTACACACACCACTAAAAGACACCTAATATTAACTTTCTGGGGGCTTAGCACCCTTCAGTCTGTTTTTCCTAACAATGAACAACCATAACATGCAGGTGGCATACATGATCTATCTGCCCAACCATATATGCTTTTTAAAAAGTAGTATAAACGTGACCCACTTCATTTCCTGGATACTACTTCACGTTATTAATCGTTATCATATTTTAATAAAATATTTAATAAATGCGCACCATAAATCCATGTTGGAAAGAGCCTGGGAACCCACTGAGCACCCGAGACTCTGATCACTTCTATAACAGGCATCTAGCCATCCTTGCCCCCTCCCAGCATCCCACCAATGCACTCCCTCCCTCATTCCTCTCTTGCTGCACCTGTTTCCCGGGTCTCTTCAGCAGACCGGCCCCAGCTAAGCACACAGAAGACCATCAGGCCCAGGCAAGCTGTCACTCCGGGGCAGAGGTTCCCAATGTCACCACTAGGGAAGAGGTGCTTCAAGTGTCTAGGGGTGGAAGCCAGAGATGCTGTGGACCCTCTCAAGTACAAGCGTGCCCTGCTCCCCCTGCAAAATACTTGGTGCCAAGGTGGAGGAAGCAAACTGCCATCGTAAGTATTCTTTAAAGCAGATCTGCCGAGATGTAATTCACATACCATACAATCTGTGCATTTAAAATATACAAAGAACAGCTGATTCAGAGTTGTCTGATCACTAGCCAAACGATCTTAGGACATTCTCATGCCCTCTGTACCCATGAACATGGCCCTCACTCCCCTCAGCGTCCCCAGAACCTGCTAATGCACTGTCTCCGCCAACTGGCCTCCTCTCAGCACTGCATACCAAGGAGCCCACAACGTGTGGCCCTCTGCATCTGCTCCCGTGCCCGGACACACACCAGGACTTCTCACCTTTCTACTCCTAACACTCCCCCACTGGACGGGTGGACCGCAGTCTGTCCGTAGCCCAGTTGACTGTGTGCCCGGGGCACACAGCTCCTCTTACCCCCTCGGCGAGGTCTCTCACTGTACGAACAGACGACTGGTGCCTTGACCGGAAGGATGTGCTCCGCCTACACCCAGCTGAGTGCCACTCTCACGCCTACTGTCCTTGGTGAAACCTGCAGGGTCCCAGCCACCCTGTCTACCTGCTCAGCGTCCTGGCAGTCACTTACTCCTCATCAGTCTGCACACAGTTATCAAGTTCGATCACGTGGCTCCCGATGAACCAGACCAAGTTGGAGAAGTAAGGGACAGCAGTTTTATCTCTGATGTAGTGCAGCATGGCCTGGTTATCCACTGAGAAAATTCACAAAAGGAAAGGAAAAAAAAAAGTCAAGATACCAAAAATAACTTGGGAGAGATTAAAAAAAAACACAATGAAAAGCCCTTTGCTATAATCTGAATTGTCTGTTTTTCCTGGAAATACTTGAAAATGTTTATCTGATTCATAAAACTATCAAGGCAGTTCTTATGCTATTTTTATAATTAGTAAAATTATCAGCTGGGCTGAACAGTCGCAGCCCCTTGACACGGTCGCTTCTCAGCAGTGGATTAACTATGCACTGGGACTGCAGCGAGAGTGACAGCATTCCCAAGCAAGCTGCCTGACTGACCAGAAAGAGTAAGTCAAGAAAGCAGAAAACTTACATGACACTGGAATAAGGAACACGGGAATCGTCATTGAAGGAAAGGCAAAAAACAGACAACAATTAACAGGGTTAGGAACCGGGAAGGTGAGACAGCGCCCAGAGGAAGAGCGAGCTGGGGCAGGAGGCATCTAAACCAAAATGTACAGGCCAGAAGAGAACATGAGAACAGCGAGCAGGGCCAGCGGGACTGACTACAGCTGGGGCCAGGGTCGCAAACTCAACCTGCCAGGTGGCTGGTGGCCCGCGCAGGGAAGCCCCAGGCCTCAGCCCCAGCGGACCCCAGCTTCACCTTCAGGTCAGAAACCCAGGTCATCGTGCAGCATCCCCAGCTTTTACATCTTGGCAATTGTGTGTTTTTCAAAAACCCTCTGCATTCAGCCCTCAAGACTTCGGTTTGCGACCTCTGGATGAGCCCAGCTGAGCCTGTGGAACGGCTTTTAATTTACTGTCATCCCAGGACAAGTCTGGAGTGAGTACCTGGGGGTCCCCCACCTCAACCAGGGGTCATCTCCAATAATAACATCTTGACTCAGGCAGTGGCCTAGCACCAGAGAACTTTCAGGGTCCGGCCAGCCTCTGAGCCAGTGCTGAGGAGCTATGCAAGGCCTTTTCCTACAAGCAATGTTTTGGGCCAGAAGTAAAATCTTGATGGGAGGGGGAGAACCTCAGAACTTGGAAGTGCTGGGCTCTATAGCTGGTTAGGAATACAATAGTGCCCCCTGCTGCTCATGATGTGAAATGCTTTTAAAGATAACACCCCCTACATCACTTTACATATTTACAAATGAAATACCCCATAACTGTAATGAAGTATACATAAAATTTATAAGAAAATACACAAAAATTTAACTCTATCACTTAAAAGACAACTTTGTTTTCCCCAATTCAATACAGCCAGTTCTGGATCCCATGCTAGCTTCTTGGGACATCTGCCTTCCGTGCAGCAGCAGCACCCAGAGGCACCTGAACGTGTACAAAGACTAACACAAGGGGCTGGCTAAATATGTGATGGTCACAAGTCCACGGGACATGTAGCCATGGGCCAGCACAATGACCCTGCCCTCCCCACCCTGCCGCTGTGACTCTAAACAGAGTAAGAAGTCAGCCCAGGCCCAAGCCCACAGGAAACTTACCTTTATAGACGTTCAAAGTTATGGTTCTTACAGCAATTCTAACCATGCTTTCGGGGTGGTTGAAAAACTTGATGGCTTCTGTGTACAGGGCAAAGTCATTGGTGTGCTAAAACAAAGCCAGACCACCCATGAGTCACAACCTGCGGAGGCAGAACCCGTCCCCGCACTGCGATTTCCATCAGAGATTCCGACGGAGAGCGGGCGGAGTGCACAAGCGGCGAGTCAGCGGCTCACTCGGGGCTGTGAGCAGCGGAGCGCGGCCATGGGAGGAACGGAAGGACGACTCGGGTCTGCATTCACACCTGTCTGGGCACGCGTCCGTGTACAGCGGTTATTCCTGAACCTCCATCCCTCCAGCCCTTCACCTACAAAATGTGGATGGTAATCTCCCCTTCACAGCTGCTAGGCTGAAATGAGATAATTTCCAGTCCAGAGCTTAATCCTGCACCTGACACTTAATGAGCACTAGGTGACAATGTGAGCTAGTCAACCGATGCTGCTTCCACTTAAGCTCTTAGCTTTAGTTAAGTTCTTAGCTTTAACTTAAGTTCTTTCGGCTACTAGCATTTTTTTTAAAGATTTATTTATTTTTATTGGAAAGGCAGATATACAGAGAGGAGGAGAGATAGAGAAGATCTTCCATCCGATGATTCACTCCCCAAGTGGCTGCAACGGCGGGAACTGTGCCAATCCGAAGCCAGGAGCCAGGAGCTGTTCTGGCTCTCCCACAGAGGTGCAGGCTCCCAAGGATTTGGGCCATCCTCGACTGCTTTCCCAGGCCACAGGCAGGGAGCTGGATGGGAAGCGGAGCTGCCGGGATTAGAACCGGCACCCATATGGGATCCTGGCGCGTGCAAGGCAAGGACCTTAACCATTATGCCATCACGCCAGGCCCTACTAGCATTTCTCCAGGCAGAAACACTCTCCTGGAGGGGGAGGGCCCAGGAATCCACTGCTGTTGAAAGGGGTAACAGCGGGCCAGCACCAGCGCGTAAAGTCACAGCCTACGCTAGTTAAAGTCCCAGCTGCTCCACTTAAAATCCAGCTCCTTGGCAATGCACCTGGGCAAGCAGCAGAAGATGGCGGCGCCTGCACACACATGGGACCTGGAATAAGTTCCAGGTTTCTGGCTTCAGAGCAGCTGAGCCACTTGGGAAGTAGAACCAGCAAACAGAAGATGGTGTGTGTGTGTGTGTGTGTGTGTAATTTTGCCTTTCAAATAAGTCTATTTAAATGGGATGACAATCACCCATCCAATAGCTCAGAGACATGGAAATCTGAACTCCCAGCCTTAAAAAAAAGCATCGGACAATCGTCCTGGCTTCCAGTGGCCGACTCTGCTGCTCTCCTATAGCCCAGCTCCCCTCCATGGCTCTCAGACCATTCTCTCCAGTACACTTCTATCCTTATTTCCCTTTTGAGAAACTGGGACTCTGAGGGAGAACGGGACTCCCCTGGGTCACACAGCAAGGAAGCGGGCAGTTCCAGTGTTCGCACGGGGCAGCACTACCCTCAGAGAACTTCTAGACAGCTCCCTCTACTGCTCTTGATACAATGTGAATTTCACATCACAAATGGAAAGATAATTTACTAAGTTTAAAAATTTTTTTCTTTAAATGTCTGCCAAGTCAGACAGCGTTGTGCAAATCAGGACAGTGGGCAGGTAAGTACAGGGCACAGGCATGCAGCAGCAGCCCACGCTGCAGCACCACCACAACCAACTTCACATGGCGCAGCCTGCTGGCCATCCCTTACCTCATTGTAGAAGAAATGGACGGTGTGGTTGTTGAGCTTTAAGGAAAGGGTTTTCAGGAACGAGATGTAGTATGCCATAATCTCCTCATCAGAAAAGTCAAATTTATGGACAATGATAGAATTCACATAGTTGTTAGAAAGCAAATAATCTGCAGGAGAGAAAAACAAAGAAAGTGGACAAGTTAGCCTGTGTTGGAGCAAAGACAAGCAAAAGACGCCGGGAGGGGGCAGTGCGGCACTCCAGCCAGCTCCTCTCCGGGCTGCTGGGATCACTCACGGGGAGCAGCCTAACCCTGAACCTGCAAGGAATCCAGCTGCTGTGCAGTCACCAGTAGCACAAGGCCAGGGGAAGGCCCGGCCCCCACTCCCACACCAAGCAGAAGCCACCAGTGTCTTTGCTGGCAGAGTACGACAGAGACGCAGGGTGGTAACAACTGGAGGTGTGGGCATTTTCACATCTATGCTTTACAAACAGCTGTCCCACTGTGCCATGTCAGGGCTGGCACTGTGGCACAGCCAGTTAAACCACTGTGATGCCAGCATCCTGTGTGGACGCCCTGGTTATTCCACTGTGGCTCAGCTCCCCACTGGAGGCCTCTGCACCTGAATGACACTGCTGGCTCCTGGCTTCAGCCCAGCCCGGCTCTGGCTGCTGCAGTCATCTGGGGGGTGAACCAGAGTAGAGAGCTATCTCTCTGTCTCTCCTCTCTCTCTTTCAAATAAGTTTATAAGAAAGAAAGAAAGAAAGGGCTGAGGGAGGGAAGGAGGAAAGAAGGAAGAAAGGGGAAAGAAAAGAAAGAAAAGGAAGGAAGGAAGAAATAAAGAAAGAAAAGAAAGTAAGTAAACAAAAGAAAACCCACCACCATCCTGAGTGTCACCAAGGGCTCTGCCTGACTCCCGCTTACAGGACAGCCTGACCTGACAAAGGCTGCACCTTGCCAGGTGTCGGTCCCTGGTGACAGCGGCGTCACAGCAGAGCATCCAGCAGAGGCCAGGACAGGGGCCAGGACATGAGCCAGGACAGGGGCCAGGACAGGAGCCAGGACAGGTGCCAGGACATGAGCCAGGACAGGAACCAGGACAGGAGCCAGGACAGGGGCCAGGGCAGGGGCCAGGACAGGGGCCAGGACAGGGGCCAGGACACGAGCCAGGACAGGGGCCAGGACAGGAGCCAGGACAGGGGCCAGGACAGGAGCCAGGACAGGGGCCAGGACAGGGGCCAGGACAGGAGCCAGGACAGGGGCCAGGACAGGGGCCAGGACACGAGCCAGGACAGGAGCCAGGACAGGGGCCAGGACAAGGGCCAGGACAGGGGCCAGGACAGGGGCCAGGACAGGGGCCAGGACAGGAGCCAGGACAGGGGCCAGGACAGGGGCCAGGACAGGGGCCAGGACAGGGGTCACGATTCCGGCCCCTCACCGCAGCTTCCCTGGAAGCCTTTCAAGTCACTGCCTCACTCTGTGATGGCCGGGGCACACCGAAGGTGCAGGCTGGGGTCTGGGAAGGAGAGCTTCACAACCTCCTGAGGACCACGATCCCCAGGGGGACTCCTGGGCCCCACTCTAAGAGAAGAGCTGCCAGGCCTGGGATGAGGTTCCTTAGAACACCATGGCTCCAACACTGAGGTCATACACATCTCAAATTCTGCTACAGCTCTGCTTCTGCGCCCGGACGTCTGACCTGGGTCAGTACCTCACTATGCTAAAGCCTGGGTGCTCAGCTGGATGATTCATACACATGGCCACAACGTGCTGGTACCACCAGGCCACACATCAGACAGCTCAGTGCCCAAAAAGCGCCCTCCCGGCCTCCCCAGGCAGCCCCTGTTCGGACCTCCCCCACCATAAACTTGTTTGCCTCTTCACGAACATCACTTCAAACTGACTCACACAGTGAGCATAGAGTCTGTCTGCTCCTGCGCTACCACATCTGAGAATTTCCCACGCGCCTCTGGGTGGTGATACGTTCCCCCACGGGTGTGAGCGTCCCCGTTTGGCTGCGCAGTATTCCAGCTCTTGGAGAGGCCACGGTCTGTTCAGCCACTCAGCATGTGCAGGCCAGGTAATGACAGACCCAGGACACTCCTTCATTCTCCATGCTGCTCTGACTGTGGCTTGGGCCACTGGGGAGGAGCAGCTGAGCGACAGGAGCAGGGGCTGTGGAGAAGCGCCCCCTAGTGCCCTGTGAGTCGCTCCCGGGCCTCCAGAGGCCCAGGTGCTGAGCCTGGCGGCTTTAGCCCCGCCAACCTGAGTCCCTTGGCCACATCCTGCAGCTGTGATGGCCACAGATTCACCCACTCCCAGGGGGACTTTTCCAGAGCTCCCGAAAGATGGCCCCATGGGTGGTAGAAATGCTGTGGGAAGCGTAGGGGACTGTGTTATTCAATTGGGATTTTTCCACTACGTCCTCACTGCGTGGCTGACTTCCCAGGGGATCCTGTTAGACTAAACCTGAGAGTATAAGCGGCCTCAGCCCCTGGGGTCTCTGTCACTGAGGCTGGCAGACCCCAGCAAGCAGGCCATTTGGCTGCCCACAGCCAGGCTAACTAGATGACGCCACAGCAGGATGCAGCTTTGAATCCAGACCAAGGAGGCCCACGGGAAGAGCCAAGCAGCCACGATACCCCGGGAGGGAGGGGTAAAGCTAAGCTCTCGCCAGGATGGTGTATGCCCTCACTGGTCGGGGCAGCGAGTTGGCAGGCACTTGGTGGCCTGTCTTCCTGGGACTGTCGCTGTTTGGTGCATACAACAAGGATGCTTTCTACAGCCAGAAAAGAAAAACAAAATGAAGTCTCGTGACTGATACTCTTGCTCCTTGCAAACCTAGATTGTGTGGACATCTGGTCCTTCCAGTGCTGAGGTGAGCAGAGACACTGCCTGGCCTGCCAACACAAGAAGCCATGCACACTTTCTGCACGCACACTCGCGAAGTCAAGCTCACAGAGCAGGAGGCCAAAGGCAGGCCCAGGGCTGTGGAGAACAGTCAGAGGAGCTGGCCAGAGAATGAGAGCTGCAGCTACGCAACATGGCTGCGTTCTGGGGCCCTGATCACAGTGTGGTCACCATGGACACAGCACCGTAGTGTTTACTTGGAAATGCCTGCGAGAGGAGACCCTAAGGAGTCCCACCACGCACAGTAAAGCTAGGTAAGTCAGGGGCTGTTCACCTTAATGGTTCGACTGTGGCAATTACTTCATAACAAACACCTACTAAACCATCAGGCTGCATTCCTTAACAGATTTCTGATTTCCCAAGCCATCTCTTCAGTCTAATAGTCCTGTGCCTGGCTAGGCTTGAAAGGGTTGCCAAGAGACATTTGAGGAGGCCACTGCACTAAATGAAAATATCAACCCAGTGGACACTGCCCATCCATCTTCCAGCAGGCATGAGGCCCTGCAGGTCCACTCTCACACTTGCTCTTCAAGCCCCTAGATTCTGCAGCCCTCTTAGCCACTTAACAGGTACACAAGCTGCAGCTCAGAGCATGCGGCAGACCAGGCCAGGCCCTGTAGGGGTGTGAGTCCAAGGCCTGTCCCACTGGGTGGCTCTGCCCCTCTCAGTTTTTAGAAACCACATCCAGCAAAACAGACGCTGGTAACAAGGGAAACAGCCCATGCCTGTCAGCCCGCCATCAAGAGGCATCTCTGGAGCAGTAGCACCACCTAGTGGCCATCGCCGAGGGCACGTGCAGCAGCTCTTGGCTATCCCTACCTCCAAGTCCCCAGGAATACCATCTCCACCTCCCTCTCTAGCCACTTTCTTTCCAACTTCTTCTGAGGACTCAGACACAGACATCTGACCTCTGATCTTCCCTACCCTACTTGCCACTGACATGACCTGGGGCTTGGCATCTTCTTGTTAGGAAAAAAAAAGCACGGAGCATTAGGAACTGAGCCAGAGGTTGTGAGCCTTGGCTCAGTTGACAGGTGGGCCTCTGCTGTGGGGGTCTGCACGGGGAGCCACAGGACAGTCAGCAGGACGCCGGCCTCAACAGTCCCCTCCCCACCCACATTACAACAACTAAGAATGTCTCCCTAGACACCGCCCAAAGTCCTGGGAGTTGGGTGAGGACTTACCACATCCAGCTGAAGACCACTGAGCTAACTGGCCTGGGCCAAAATCCTGTTTCTGTCTGGCCTCTCGGCTAGGGACTCAACCTTCCTCAGTGCCCAGACGAAGCAGTACCAGCCCCTGCTTTTCTGATGAAGAATCTGAGCTTGGTGAGCACAGGGAACAAGCTCGCCAGGCGGACACAGGGCTGGAGCTGGAGGCTTGGGGGCCAAAACCCACACACCCCCACCACAGGCTCCTGGATGGGGCACGTCTTCCTGCTGCATCCTCCCATATGACTCCACCAGCTGACCATTCAGCAGCCCCAGTACTACTAATAAGTTGCAAAGGAGATGCAAACACCAGAGTCAGACGGCAGAGGGGAGCCCTTCCCCAGGCCTGTATGTGGCCATCACACAGGGACACACATGCGTTATAGACCAAACCATGTCGCATCTAAATTCCTAAGGTGAAGTTACCACCCTCCCGCCCCACCCTTGGGGGTGACTGGTTAAAGGAGCTCTCCAGGGTTGGGACCCAGGGCTGACAGGGAAGCGGGCCCTGCAAGAAGACGAAGACTCCAGACTGCTCTCCCTCCATCACAGGCACAGGACAACCGCTGTGCTGTGTGCAGGGGGAGGCAGCTGGTGGGGTCTGGTGCATCCCCCAAGGCTCACGCGTGGAAACCCTGCCTGATGGGGCCATGCCAAGGGTGTTTGGGTCCTGGAGCAGAGACCTCACAAACGGGCTACCACCTTCTTCTTGGGACCTGTCCCTCCAGCAGGCCTGCCTCGGCCGCCTGGAGAACTGCCCCTCGCCTCCTCCTTCCTTCCTCTGCCCAAGCCCCCTCACCTTCCACTTGCCACCAGGAGTGGAGACAGCACAGAGACCCCTGCAGTGTGTTGCCCAATCTTGGACTTTCAAGCCTCCACAACTGTGAGCCAAAATAAGCTTCCTCCCTTTCTAAACGACCAGGGCTCGCGTGTTCCGTTACAGGATGAGTTAGCACACTGGCCATCAGCAGCCGGTCAGAGAGCGCTTATCAGAAACCAACCCACAACGGCGGCTTCGTCTTAGACGTCCCCACTCCAGAACGGCGAGAAGACAAACTTCTGCAGCTTAAGCCCCTCATTCTGTGGCCTGAGGTCAGGACAGCACAAGCAGGCGGGCACACGTGGCACACACAGACACACAAAACCATGCCTGCCTGCCCGCGGGCAGAGGCGAGCACCAGGAGTGTGCTTACACAGTGAGGTCTCGTGACTGATGTTCTCAAAGAGGATGTTCAAGGTCTGCAGCAGCTGGACACACACGTAGCGGCCTGACTTCTGCCGCAGGATGTTCAAGAAGAAAACGAACATGTTCTTCTCCAGGAAGAAGCTGCGGAGAAAACAGGACAGGGTCAGCAGTTTGCCTGCACACACCGGCATCACCGGCTGCTTCACGGCCGCACACATGGCACACCTGTCCCCACCACCAGATCACACACCCCGCAGCCTTGGCTTCCACACCTGCCAGGTCCCAGGTCACCTGCCACCAAGGCTGACGGGGAATCTCCCTGCTCTCTGCCCAGAACTCTAGAACAGCGCTGCTTCCAGGGGACACAGACTGGAACCGGGACACGGCGGGAAAGGTTCCATGCTCCCTGAGTGACGCCTCAGCAAATCAACAGGCAGCACTTTGCATCAAGTGTGCTGGGTCCCAGCTTTTCCTCACTAAGCCTCTACTATGCTCTCTCGAATGTTAAGAAAAACCACTACTGGAATTCCCTGCAAAAGGATCAGACAATGCTGACATTAAAAGGGCGCTGCTTTCCAAACCACCCAACTTGGAGTTTCCCCGTCTAGGGGAGAGGAACTGGAAAGAAACAATGCAGATGCTGACATGGTGAGAGACCAGCCAGGCCCCAGGTCTGCTCTGCCTTTCTCCTGCACAGGCCACCTGTTTGCAAGCAGCCTGGAAGCCCAGGCCCTGGGGTACACGCTGAAAACGAAGCCCCTCCTAAGGCCATTTGAAAAGGAAGGGAATGCACCCCTTCCGTGCTCTGTGAGGTCTGCATATCCCTCACCCCTCGTCTGCCGCCACTATAGCAGGCCTGGCATGTGCCCCATGCTGTACCCATTTTTAATCCACCACAAAGATATTTAACGAATAAATACAACCCCAATACCTTTGACATTTTTTCCAGCTCGGACTCTGGGAGCCTGGCTGTCCATAAATGCTGTTGTGCTGCCCTGCGGAGCACGCCTGCCCTCTGATCTTTCACCCCTTTGCTGCAGGGCACACAGGCAGTGGCTCCAAGGAGCCAGAGGATTCACAGCTGACAGGCGGCTGCACAGCCACCAACTCCACAACCTGTGACAGAGCCATGACTGTGCCCAGGAGCTTGCCTGCTTTCTTCAAAACTCCTGAGGGGGGGAAGGGCTGACCCCAGGGTGAGGGCAGGCAAAAACATGAGAGGAGCCCAGAGCATCTCATAGCACCAGGAAATAAGGAAGTGGGGGACCCAGATGGAGCTCCTTGCTTCAGCCTGGCACACCTGGCTGTAACAGCCACTTGGGGAGTGAACCAGAGGATGGAGGACTTCTCTCTCTGGTTCTGCCTATGGCTCTCCGTGTCTCTTAAAAATAATAGTAGTAGTAGCAAAAGAGTCAAAAGGGGGAAAGGGTCACTTTAGGTCAGAAAAATCTGACAGACGCCACTTTGGCCAGGTGGTGAAGGTGGCCAGCATTCCTGCCCACTGCCCCAGCCTCAAGCTGAGAAAATGACCCAACAAACACAGACTGGGGGACATCCCCCAGGAGGCCTGCATTCCTCAACACTGCCCAGGTCATAAAAAATGGGGAGGACTAAGAAACCATCACGGACAGAAAGGGGAGGTATGGTCACAAAATACCTGTGGAAGCCTAGATAGGATCCTGGAGTGGATAGGATGATATTAACAGAAAACAGGCAAAATCCAAACCAATCTGGAGTCTGAAGGCCAGTGCAGCCTGGTGCTGTATTAACTCTGGGCACAGGCGTTGGTCTTGTAGTAAGAGCGCTGGCATCAGAGGAGCTGCTCAACCCCCAGCTCCATCTCCTGACTCCCATTCCTGTTAACGTACACCCTGGGAGTCAGCCCACCACCCACCTTGGCCTGACTCCTGGGGTCCGCTCCATCCCAACTGTCAAGGGCATCGGAGGAAGTGACACTCTGCCAGTCTCTCTTCTTAAAATGTGCTCTCAGCAGTGAGGAAGACTGGGTGGGGGATATGGAAACCTGTGCTGCTGTGCAACTGCTCCATAAATCTAAAACTCCTCCAAAACCTAAAAATGTGCTTGAAATAACACTTTGCTGGGGGATTCTGCTGGCCAGTCCTGCAAGGACCACTAAGATCCCAACACATGAACTAGGAAAGTCTATTCTAATAAAAGGCAACAGAATGTCCTGCTTGTTTTCACTATTTGAGAAAGAGAGAGAGAGAGCATGAGAGCGAGCTTCCATTTACTGGTTCATCTCCCAAATGCCTGCATTGGCAAGGGCTGGCTCAGGTTAAAGCTGGGAGCCTGGAACTCAGTCCGGGTCTCCCACGTGGATGGCCAGAGCCTAAAAGAAGCGGAGACTCAAAAGCTGGACCCAGGGACTGAAACTGGGGTAGGGGGTCTCAGATCATGTTTTGGCCCACCCCACTCTTTAAAGCCATCTGTGAGACCCATCTGCTTTTTATCATGAGCCACTAGTTATCCGGCACCCACTCTGTGCCAGGCTCCAGCATGGGAACTCTCTCTTCCTGGGGTTCAGGAAGATAAAGAACATGGCCCACACCCCCAAGTACAAGAACCAGCAGAAACCTGCTCACAGGCTCGGTGTGAGCCACTGCTTCACTGCTCTCCCACTCACCTGCGAAGCGGCCTCAGCTGGAGCAGCTGGCAGGCTCAGCAGGGTCACCCCGGCAGGATTCTCTGGCCGGTCTCCAGGGGATCCCCAGGCAAGTCCCTCTGCTCACCCAGACTGACCACTTGGCACTGCTTTCTGCTTCCCTTGGGGAGATGACCAGATGCCACTCAGAAAGCTGCCCCTGACCCAGTCAGGTTTTTACAGACCCTCACTTCTGTAACTTCTCCACTCCAGCTCCCATTTCTATAGGGTTTCAAGGACATTTCCTACAGATGCATTACTTGGGCAAGACCAAATTAGAGCCAGCTCTGACGTCACCAGGCATGACTCATAGTACACACTTGAAAAAGCATTCAAAGGAAGACAAGGAATTCAAAACAAACACAGGAGGAAACTCTTACTCAAACACCGAGCTGTCATTTTGATCTCCCCAAATCAGGATCTCGGTGATGGAACGGATGGTCTCCACCAGCAGGTTCCGGTTCTGTTCTGTGACTGTGGTGTTTTTGGTCAACACGTGGTACAGATACCTGAGAGAAAGGATGGGAAGAAAACAGAATGGAATGAAAGGCAGGCCCAATGACCACTAGCGACATTTCATGGGCACATCCAATTCCTTTTCTGATTCCATTAGCACTACTTCCTGTTCAGACGCCACATAACTTACCACCAAGAAAAACAGCACACAGCACTTTGAAGCAACACACACAGGGACACACCAAGCCAAACTAAAGCTGACCAGGGGACTGCCCAAGCCTTGAAGACTTTCACATGCCCGAAAACCACCTGGGGACCTGGATCAATTGGGGGCTGCTGGGGTCCACCAGGAGACTGACCACAGCTCAGGTGAACTGAAGGAAGCCCAGGCTTTGGTCTGTCTCACATGCTACCACAGGACCTGGATGGTCAGAGCCAAATGCCCAAGAAAGAAGCCACTGCCAGGCTGACTCGGGTTGGGGATGTCGTCACAGTTAGAGAAGGCGGCTTCCTCAGCCAACAGCTGGAACAAAAACCCTGCATGATCAGGATGACCCAGGAGAAGCTACGATCCCCACTCAAGTGCATGCAGCACACCATCCGAATTTATGGCTCAAGCTGAGAGGGAGCTTCGCAGCTCGGAGGAAACAAGCTTGTTCACCCATACAGACTGAAATGGGCTGGGGAGACAATGGCCCTGGACTTCACTTATCCCACAGGCCAGGAAGCCACCCCTGGGAGCAGAGAGAGCACAGTTCAGGCCCTGGGACTCTCTGCTAGTGCTACCAGAAACCAAAGAACCACCGAGGCCAGCCCTGAGCAGGTCAAGGACCAACACCCTGGTCACATATCCTGCACTGCTTCCTGGTACTGCCTTCCTACTCCCTCCCGCTCTGCCTCCTGGTACTGCCTCCACTTTTTACTTATTTGAAAAGCAAGAGGACATAGCTAGACCAGGAGAGAGACCTTCCACCTGCTAGTTCCTCCCAAATGGTTACAATCGCTGGGGTGGACCAGGTCAAAGCCAGGAACTCCATCTCGGACTCCCAAGCAGTGGCAGGAATTTAGGTCATCTTCCATTGCTCTCCCAGGTGCATTAGCAGAGAGCTGGACTGGAAGTAGAAGCAGCTGCAATTGTGCTCCAACTGGATCTGTGCTCCCATATAGGGTGCCAGCACTGCAAGCATCAGCGTCTCCTGGTGCACCATGTCAGCCCCCTAGCACAGCTCTTAGGATTTCAGACTTCAGGCTTGGGAAGGAAAACTAGACACCAGGTGGAGGTGACTTAGGAAAAGTCACTTTCTGTTATCTCAAACTCACAAGCAGTTTGGGGTGAGAAGCATGGGAAAGCAAGATAGGGAAAGATACGAGAAAATCCTTTCACCAAAAGTCCCTAAATAGAGGGGCGACAGAAGGAGGGGGAACTGCTGCTTGGCCTTTAGGCTAAGATCAGCTGTAGAAAGACGGCAACTTGCAGGTGGAACCCCACGGAATAATCTGTCACTTTAAGAGTCTGGGGATTACTGAGTTGTATTGTTGCTGATGGCTATGTTTTAAAGACACAGTACTTGCATAACCAAGCTGTTAATGAATTAAATGAGAAGTTGCACACAATTTTCAATCTATATCAAATAGCAAGCCCTTTAAAATACACATAATCTAGTGTTTCTGCCATAATCTACTGCCACATTAGCCTGTAGGAAGCCGAGTTACCCCTGAGGCAAGGTAACCCAACAGCACAGGAACCACCCTGGGGTGGGTCATAGGGGCCGGCCCACTTTATCTCAAGGGCTTCTTCCCCAAGAGACTCAAGCAGCAGAGTTTTGCTTGCATCAGAAATCACCTGCTTATGTTGCTTCCTAACCCGGCACCACTGATCCAAGCTCTGGGGCACAGCGTCCCAGTCACTGCAGTTGTCAGGGAGTTGGACTGGAAGTGGAGCAGTGGGGACATGAACCGCTGCCCACCCAGCATGTAGGTGCTACAGTGTGAGGATTAACCTATTGCCACCGTACCGGCCCCAGCTGCTTGTGATCACTTAGGACAAATGCCAGTTAACATCCTCGGGCCACCCACAGGACACCCTGCCAGGGAGGGAAAGGCTCTCCCGACTGGCATTTTCTTCTTTCCATCAGCATCACACATGACACTGCTGGCACAGGGAGGCAGTGGCCCGTACGGGTGGGCCTGCCCTGTAGATGCTTGACAAGGATGTGAGTTCAGAATCCAACCAACTGGATTTGCTGCCTACAATGCCCCGGACTGTTCCCAGAGCCCTGGTGCCTTTGTACACACACCCGTTACTGCACAGGCCACCCCAATTCACAGCCACCTGCCTCCCTTACCAGGGCCAAGCTCCTCAAAGGCCAACGAAACGCCTGGAGACCAACGAGCTGCAGCGGCTTGCCAGCACGCACCCAGGACCCTAGAGGTTCATCCCCAAGGACTATGCACGTAAACACACAGTGCCCAACAGCACAGCCTGCTTTCTCCAGAGACCCACGGATGTGCCAGGCTAACCCACTGCATGAATGAAGCCTCACACCTCACAGTCCATTTCAGAAAGAGAAATAGCAGGTCCCAGTTCATCTTTGGTGGCTACATTTTGCTAGGACAACTCCAAGTATTATGCCTTGAGCCATAAAATGCCACTTAGGATGTTCCTTTTGGGAGATGCTAAAACTTGGGCTCAAGCTGGAACAGTGGTAAGCAGAATGACAGAGAATCCTGGGGCCTAGAAACTCACCCTCGATGCACACACCTGTGACTAGCAGTAGCCCAGGTGTGTGAGAGAGAAGGGGACATGGACCTGTGTCTGTTTAGCGCTCAGTCTCAACGCAGAGATCCTGGCCACATTGGCCAGGGCAGCCCACTCTGTGCCTCGAAGCCCCTGTCAGTGCCCTGCCCTTGGCCAGCAGGCCCGAGAGTTCAGCAAGGGAAGTCAGGCTGGCAGACCAGGGAAAGGTGTACACAGGCGGTACTTCTCTTGGAGAGTTACCTGGCAAGCACATTGAGCTGGGTTCGCAGTGAGATTGGGTCTGGGGTGCTGGGTGAGGGTGGGGGCAGGGCTCACATCCTAGAGGAGTCACGGCCTGCGACCAAACTGTGGCTTAAAGATCAGAACAGGCCTCTTCCAATCAGGTGGGACAAGTCTCTGTCCTCACCTACTACACTCCAAGTCCTGTGCTGGCAGCCAACGGCACCCAGCTGAACTGTGCCCTCTCATCACGAAGCTTCTGCTCCCATTTGGGGACAGAGAGAAAGCACTGCTGCTGGCTAGGGGACAGACCTGAGGAACCCTGGGCTGCTTCCTAGGGAGCTAAGCCAAGGTCAGGATGAAGCTCAAGAGCCTGTGGGCCTTACAGGAAATCCAGTCCAGCTGGATGAAGACAGCAAGTGAAAGGTTAACAGAGTGAAGCAGTGAAAGTGGACACAGAGAAAATGAGTGAATTCTTACAGGGGTGATAGGGATGGGCCCGCACAGAGACAGGCAGGAAGGAATGAGAGGAGGTGTGATAGGGATAGGACCTGCACAGAGACAGGCAGGAAGGAATGAGAGGAGGTGTGATAGGGATAGGACCTGCACAGAGACAGGCAGGAAGGAATGAGAGGAGGTGTGATAGAGATGGGCCCGCACAGAATCGGGCAGGAAGGAATGAGAGGAGAGCCCTGGCCGATGGTGAAGGTGCAGCCAGGTGAGGTGCAAGGCATGCGTGTGAGTTAGCAACAGAACCATCACACAGTAGGCGCCATCCCAGCAGCTGCCCTGGGAACTCAGGCTGCCCTCTGTGTGGAGATGGACACAGGCCTGCAGGAGGCCCTCCTCCAAGCCACCCTCCAAACTTTAGCCGGACAGAAGCACTCCCCTGGCTAAAAAAAAAAAAAAAAAAAAAAAAAAGCCATTGTGACTGCCCTCTGCCCACAGTCTAACTTCCAGATTCCTTCCCGTGATTTACAAACTTAGGCGACCTGGCCTCTATGTGCCCTCTGTACTCCTCACTCTTCCTTCTCTTAGGTCCTAAACATGACCCTTCTCTCACCCCCTGCCACCAGCCCTGGGCCCCACCTGCTCCCCTGGCCCAGGCTCTCCCAAGCCCCTCTGGACACTACTTCCACCTCCAGCCTGCTGACAGCCACTCAGCCTTCCAGTGTGTATTTCAATGAAGTCAGTAGACCCAGGCTGTTCCCAAGCCCCTGCATTCCCAAACAAGACAGGCAGGACCAGAATCTGGAGCCTGCTGAAGGCCTGGGAGAATTTGGAGTTGACACAGTGGGCCCAGCTACATTGGAAATGGTTCAGGTACTATGAGAAAACCAATCTGGCACTCCCATACCCCACACTCTGAAACTTGTAGTACCTTCTAGCCAAGAGTTGAATATGCAAGCACAGGTGAGCCTCTGCCTGCCAGGTATGCATCCTCCCCTTTGGATAGTAACCCTGCCTCCCCCAACCAGAAGCACCCCTTTTCTCTCTGTCCACTAGCTTGGGTAAAGCTCATGTCAGCCTTGGCTCCAGGGAAGGACGTGTGAGGAAGGCGTGGTCAGCACAGCCCACACCTCTGAGGATGGCATGAGCGCTGGGAGTGCAGCAGTGCTGAGCTTTGGGCTGCTGGCAATACAAGAAGGAGCAGTCCTCTTTTCCCAGGGACCACCAAACTGATGTGCTACAGACCCAGAGCCTGCCTGACAAGGATGCCACACAGAGGTGGAGCCGAGAGGCGGGAAGAGTCTCCCTACAGCTTCCTCAAACTACCTCCATGACAGGAGTCAATCAAACCCGTTGGGGGCTTAAGCCAATTCCAGCTGCTTTTCCATCTTGACCCACTCAAAGAGGTGACCACAACTAAAGCAAAGCAAATTGTAATGGCCAAGTTCTACCAGTCTAAGGACTCATCATCCCCAGGAAAGATGCTGCGACAGTAGCAAACGACGCCACCTACAGGGGTTCCATTAGAACTGCATGTCTGCCATGTCACAGGGGCCACCACCTGCCAGGGATATGGACCACTCAGGACAGAGGGCACAGGTCCACAGCTGCCTAGGAGTTAGCCCAAGGGAAACTCTGTCTAACAAGAGAAGTCCTGTCTGGCTTACCAGCTGGAAATGTCACGCAAAATAATGTGATTTTAAAAGGGTCTCAATCTTTGTATAAATCTCAAATTGTTATAAAAAATCTTTATTTAAAAAAAAAAGAAAGCATCCAGATGCTTTGTGTGCCCAACAACAAGATATCAATTGTAAGTTCTTTTAAATCTCTTTTCTCCACACAAACTGCCCTAGCTCAGGGTCAGAGTGCCTTAAGCACTGTCACTGGCAGGGTGGTGATTCGTATGTCCAAGAAGGCCTCCTGAGTCCTCTGAGAGGTCACCCTTGTGTCACATAATCTCCAAGTCCATTGCTACCTCCAGCCAGGTTCCTACAACCAGCAGCTACTGCCTCAACGTTCCAGAGAACAGTACGGGTCCTGGTGAGCCCTCCCACCCTCGGCTGTCCCACACGGCGACTCCAGCCCATCCCTGGTGACTCACTCTGCCAATGCCTCCTCTAGTGCACGTCTAAGCAAGGCTCCAGGGAGCCCTACCCCTGCTGCAGTGCCAGCACCTGCCTCTCTGTACAGTCTCCCCCCTCAAGCTCAGCAAGCCCCCTCAAGGCAGGACGTGGCTTGCCCTAAGATCCGAGAGGTTTATACTGGAGCCACACAGACAGCAGTGTAGGCCCTGCGGACGGCCCTGGCTGGGACACTACCACGTCAAGCCGGGGTCTCTGAAGGCCCTCAGCCTTCGGGAAGTAACATGGATTAAGCAGATCAGCGTGATCCAGGGCAGGCGGCTCAGCTTTCCGACAGGTACTTGACCTGAACAAGGAATGTGAGCAGATTCCAGGACATGGCAGAGCAACCTGAGAACCTTCTCCAGACCCTCTTCCACTGGCCAGCCAGCAGGGGAATCCCATGAGCACGTGGGTGTAGCCAAATCCAAAGTCTCCCCAAACCGACTGGCTGGGATGCTGTATGCAGAAAACAGTGTAATGAGGGCAAGCTCTTGGGTCAGGCCCGATGCTGACGCTTCAGCTATCAGCACCTTAGGGCAAGTGATGTCAGCTCCTTGAACCTCAGCTTCCATTGCCATAAAATGGTCACAGCAATAGTTCTAATAACTCACAGACTGGTGAAGACTGAAGGAAAGAGTTCAAGGACCCAACACAGGTAAAGCATTCAGGAAACATTCAAGGAATGAGGGACAGTGCTGTGGCACAGAGGCTAATACCTGCAGCACCGCCATCCTGTATGGGCACCAGTTCAAGCCTCAGCAGCTCCCTGCAAATGTGCCTACAAAAGCAGTAGGAGATGGCCCAAGTGCCTAGGCCCCTGTACCACATGGGACACTGGAAGAAGCTCCTGTCTCTGGCCTGGCTAGCCCTGGCTACTGTGGGCAGTTGAAGAAGGAACCGGTGGATAGAAGATCTTTCTCCCTCTCACTCCTTCTCTCTACTTTTTCAAATAAATGAATCTTTTTAAAAAATAAATACCCAAGTAACTTAAAGGGCTGCAGTCAGGCAGTTAGGTGAGAACCCATGGGGACCTGTGTGCCAGCAGAGGCCCTGCCTTGGGCACCCACCGGATAAATTCCTCAAGTCCTTGAGCCACTCCCTGGCCGCACCTCCACCAGCTGCCCTCCCATGCAGGACTCCTGCCACCCCCACCCGGTCCTTGTCTTCTCCAACCACCTCCCCAAGGCATCCCTCAACACCTCACAAGCCTTCTGCCCCCACTCTCCCAGACCATGACCGTTTATTAAACGCCTGCTCACTGCCAGGAAGGACACAGCTGAGAACCCCCAAGGGCCAAATGAGAGCCCTCCTCTAACTTGCCTCCCTCCCGCCACCCTCCAACCCTATCTTTGGCCCTCCCTGTTAGTGATCTCGGGAGATCTCTCTGGAAGCCAGCCCGTTCTTGTCAACAGAGGTTTGCCTACTCCCTCCTCCCGCGGGTACTCCCACATTTTCCTCCCCGAAGTCACTACTCCCCCGTCCCACGCCCTCCCCGCCCCAGCACTCTGGATCTGGGCCTGCAAACATCCCAACTCATTCATTGTCCCCCCACCTTTAAGCACTCACTGAGCTCCTACTGTGTGCTAAACACTGTCAAACCAAGCCAGTCAGCCCACCTAGAAGCAGGAAATGGAGAAGGAACACAAACAAACCACGGACAGTGGAGAAGCTCTGCGTGAAACCAACAGAGGGATCTGGCTGGGAAGGAAAAGGGCCAGGGGAACATCGGGGACAGAGCCATCTGAGAAGGCACCGTGGGACTGCAAAACCCGGCTCCCACCATGGGCTGCCTACTGTGTGACAACACTGGACATTTCCGAGTGCTGGCGGAGTGTCCATCAGTATCCCCATTTGCAGTTGGGGCACTGGTGGCGCTGGAGTCCAGGACTCATACCTATTCATACACAAGACTCACGGCAAAGCCACTCGCATCCCATCACCTCCATTCACGCCGGCCTCTCAAGATCCTTCCCCCACCCCACAACTCCAGCTCTGGCTGTCCCTGGTCCTCTCCCTGTCCCCCCAAAATATCTTGTTCCTTTAAATTCTATGCCATATCGCCCATTTTCACATCTTATCAGCTTTCTGTTTATCTTCTCATTCAAGCAACTCTCAAAGCCATGGCAGCGGGCAAGTACCATCACTTTAGCCATTACACACCTGTGGAAACCCAAACCTAAATCACACACACACACGCACGCCACCCCGCACCACCCCTCAAGTCGGATCCGGAGTTGCCCAACTCCAGAATCCGGACCCTTGGAACCCCTCAACCGTCCCATGCCGAGAAGTATCAGCGGGGAAAGTCTGGCCAGCACCGTCCGCCCCGCGCGCGAACCAAACCCGCATCCGCAGCCGAAACCTCATCGCCCGGCTTTCCGCGTGGGGATCTGGACAGTCCACAAAGCGGAGCTACTTGGCCCAAGGTTACACAGCCAGGAGCGTCGGGGTCAGGGTTCGAGTCTCGGCGCTCCGACTACCAATCCCAACCTTCGGCCGGGGCGCCCCTCTCGGTCCCCGACCTCGGCTCTCACGCCTCCCAGCGCCCCCAGCCCCACGCCCGACCTGCGGCCTCTCCCACCCACCCCGTCCCCCACACACACTCACTTGAGGTGGTCCAAAGAATGGATATTGCGGGAGGACTTGCCATGGCCCCCGCCCACCCAGCTCCGCGAGCGGCCAAACATGTCGGCGGCCCCGGCCCGGCGTTCGCCTCACGGTCTCATGCCCCAGCGGCCGAGCGGCCTGGCGCCCGCGGCCGCAGCTCCAGCGGAGGCGGTAAAGAGACCGCCAACCACCTTCCTCCCCGGCCCACAGCCCCGCACTGACATTCAGCCGGAACCGGCCGTTCGACCACCGCGCTTTACGGCCGCTAGTGAGAAGGACTCTGGGAAATGCAGTTCACTCGCGGAGGCCTTGGTGGCGTCAGGACTCTGCTAGCGGACTACAAGTCCCGGCGTGCACCGGGCGCCCTCCGAGACGAAGCAGCGCGAGGAGAGGCGGTGCCTTGGTCCGGATGGGCGGAGCAGATTAATGCAGATAAATGAAAAGGTGTCCTCGCAGAATGAACAAGTATTGGCTTTGTGAGAAAAACAAGAATAGCCTTTGCATGGCGTATAGTGTGTGCCACTGCCCTTGACACTTTGCATATATTTACATGGTTAATTCTCACGACAACCCTATGTGTTGGGATTGTAGTATTATTATCGTTGTCATCATCACCATTTTATCATGTGGAAAACTGTAGCAGAGAGCAATTGACTTGCCCGAGGTCCTATCGTTAGCAGATGACAGAACCAGGGTCCGAACCCGGCTATCCTCATGTTCATCTACACCCAGGTCTCGCATATGGGCGGTAAGGACCCCATCACCCGGCTGATGGACCCCTACCTTCCAGGGCCTGGAGCCGGGAATGAAACCCAGGCAGTCCCAGGTTGGATGTAGACTTAACAGTGCACCCCCTTATATGGCTCACAACAGAAAAACAATGGGCCAGTTTAATGCTCAACAGGATAATCCTTCACTCTGTGGTACTGGCATCCCATAGGGACGCCAGTTCTTGTCCCAGCTGCTCCACTTCCAATCTAGCTCCCTGCTTAAGGTCTGAGAAAGTGGTGGAGGATGGCCCAAGTCCTTGGGGCACTGCACTCAACGCGGCAGACCCGGAAGAAGCTCCTGGCATTTATTTTATTTGAAAATACAGATATACATTCATGTAGATCCACACACATACACACACACACACACACATGCACCACATCCTGGCTGAAGTGCCCACTTGCCCGGGGTTCGCTGCACCCAGCCATTCCCCAACCTCGCGTTGCAGACCCCCGGGTCGCGCCGGGCCTGCAGCCGCAGCCCCCTGCCCACCTGCCTCCAGGGGCCAGCGGGAACCGAGCCCCAGGAGGCGTGGCGCCAAGCGCAGCCCTGGCGAGTGGCGGAGGCAGCGCACGGCCCCTGCGCTGAGCTGCGCAGCCTCGGCGTCAACCGTCCGGCTTTGAGCCGTGTGCGTGGGCTCTCGAGTCCCTCGTCCCGAACCCGCGACCCCCAGGGAAGACCCGAGCCCGACTTCTGGCGCCCAGCCGAACCGAGAAGCCACTTCAGGACGAGCCCCCTTGGGGGCGGGGCGCGGCGGGGCCCGCCCCCAGGAGGGCTTGAGCCAATGAGAGCGGGCGCTGGGTCGGCCAATGAGCGCGAGTGGCAGGGGGCGGGCCAATGAGCGCCGGGTGGCTCGGGGCAGGGGGCGGTGCTCGGAGCGCCGCCCGGAGGGGACGCGGCGGCCGCAGCCATGGGCGCTGGGCCTGCGGGGGCGCGCAGGGGGCGCGGGGAACGGCCGATCCTGGCGGGAGAGGCGGCGGCTGGGACTGGCTCTCGACGCTGAGCCGCTGTGGGAGTCCCTGTCCGCGCTCCGAGGAGGGCCTGTAGCTGCTAACGGGGTGCCTCGGACGGGAACCCGGCGGTCGCTGGCCACTTCACGGGACGAAGTGGGGGGAGCGGGCCGGCCGGTCGAGAGGGCCTCGTGGACACCTTGGGGGGCTGCAAGCGACCTCCCCCACGCCCACGCCCCGCGCGGCAGCGACCGCCGCATCTCCGCAGCGGGGGCTCTGGAGCCCAGGGTCGCCCCGGTCGAGCCCCGGGGGCACCCCCTGCATGGCTGAGCTGCCCCCTCGTCGGCCGCCCGGTCGCTGCCGGGGCTGAGCTCGCCTGGCCGCCGCCCTCGCCGCCCGCTGCATGCCCGGCGCCCGGATCGCAGCCCACCTGGACGCACTGGGCCCCCTGGTCCCCTCCGCGCAGCCTCCGCTGCTGCCCTCTATGTTCTTCGTGGGCCTGTTTTTCGTCAACGTGCTGATCCTGTACTACGCCTTCCTCATGGAGTACATCGTCCTCAACGTGGGCCTCGTCTTCCTGCCCGAGGACTTGGACCAGGCACTCGTGGACCTGGGCGTGCTCTCCGACCCCGGCTCCGGCCTCTACGATGGCGACTCGGAGCTGGACGTCTTCGATGGGTACTTGGAGTAGGGTCTTGCCTGCCAACCCCCCTGGGCCTGGACCAGCTGCCCACATCATGCCACCGCCGCCGCCGTCTGGATGGGGATGGGACCTCAGGTCGAGGCCTTCCCCTGCCCCGGAGGCCTGTAAGTGCCCACTGAATGAACCCGGGTTGGGATCCTGGCCAGGGCAAGAGGGGCACCCCGTCCCTACCCCACTCCTTTGGGTCTCATGTGAAGCCAGACTTGGCACGACCCCTCTTTGTGGGAACAGCTGTTGAGGAGGGAGTACCCAGGGACTGAGTGACTTGTACTTAACCCCAGGACTTGAGGGAAAAGGATTTGTACCCAAATATGTTTGAGGCAAAGCCGGCAGCTCCTCCCCCCATCCGCAGCCCATCTTGGTGGTGACCTTGAGTTGGGGGGGGGGTGATTCACTAGTTCTCAAAGGGTAAAAAGACTTAGGGGTGTCAGAAGAGATACAGAGGCCACACGGACTGCCTTGGTCCTGTGAACCCCAGGGGCAGCTGGATGGAGAGAGTGGGTGCAAGGCCAAAGGCTGCTGCACAAGAAAAGAACCCCTCTGCAAAGAGCCTGGACTTCCTGGCCTTGCACGGCTGCTGTTGGGATCAGGTTTCAGTGTGCCCAACCTGTGGGCTCTGCAGCTGAAGTCTGCAGAGGCTGCCAGGGTGACTGGCAAGCTAGGGGGTGGGGGAGGGAGGGAGTGGCACCAGCTTTGCCTGCTGTGTGTGTAAGACCTCCAGGGTTCGTGGGTCAGCCGGTCCTTGCACTGAGCTGTGGAACCCAGCATCCAGCCTCTGCACTATGACCAGCCCCCTTAACATGTTCTGGGGGAGAGTGAGTCAACTAGTCCAGAAGAGGGGGCCTGCCGGGCACCTGTCAGGCCCAGGGGAGGCTGTCAGGACAGGCTGGGCACTCGGGTTGTGTGGTGCTGGACTCTGATTTGGACCCAGGGCCTGAGTGGCAGGAAGAGGGGACACGGAGGTGAGGAGGTGAGCAGGGCTCTTTTGGAGGATGGACACTAACACCGCTTCCCCCGATCCTGTCCTTTGCCTGGTGGTGCTGGAACAGACTGTTGGGGAAACGGAGTGTTTCTTTCTCACAGTTCTTAGGGGGGGGTGCTAATGCCACCTATGTGGACTCTGCCCTCCTGACCTGGTCACCCTGCAGAGGCCCCACCTCCTAGTTGCCGCGCAGACCTTGGCTGGGGTTTCAGCATAGGAGTGTGGGGGGCACAGACATTCAGTTTGCTGCAGTGGTCCGTGCAGGGTTGAGCTGAGCTCAGGGAGGGTTTAGCAAGCACCAGGTGCAGGTGGAGATGTGCCCGCCACTTTGCATAGCTCCCCAGCCCACTGCCTGCCTGCCCGCCTGCTTGCCTTGTATTGAGCCTATGTGCATTTGTTCACACCAGTCTAGGGAATGAGTCCAGACAGTACTGCCTTGGTACTCAGAGTGGAAGACAGCAGGGTCCAGACTAGCTCATCAGGGTCGTTGGGAGTGCTGAAGGCCTATAGGAAAGACACAGGTTCCCCCTGAGGAGGCAGCACCTCAGAGCTGGGACCTAAGTGGGTGGAAGGAGGCAGACATGAAGGTACAGAGACAGTGCAGCTGAGGCAGAGGGGACTCAGGGGGGGTTCAGGGGGGCTCAGGACAGAAGAGACGCTGGCTCATCCCACATCCGGAAGGAGGCTGCAGTGGCTGGAGTGGCGCCCTAGGAGCAGTCACGGGGGAGGAGAGTGGCGGCCACGCCGTGCAGGACCTGGCAGGCCACAGACAGGAAACGACACAACCAAGTTCACTCTCTGCAAAGGTAACTTCGAAGCTGTGAGCAGTGCAGGCGCAGGCAGGCTAGCTCGGAGGCTGGGAGACGTACAGACCCATGATCAAGGCTAGGCTAGTGGTGACAAGGAACTGGACCAGACTGGGCACACCTGCTGGAGGCAGGGCGTATGTGATCCACCCAAAATCTTTCCTGCTCATTGGACACCCCCGGTTCTGGGCCCTCTGTGGACTCACTCATTTAGTCTCAACAGACGTCGGGCCTGCCTATTTTGCCAAGCCTTGTGCTAGGCCCCAGTGACCCCACAATGAATCCCTGTCGCCACGCTAAGTACTTGACTCTGAGACGGTAAGTTTGGCAAAGAAAGTCTCACTTTATCCCTTGACCGCTGCCTCTCCCAGCCAAACTGGAACTGAAAACTGAGGTCCAAATGTTCGGATGTACCTTACAGCGAGCACAGTCAGAGCAGAAGCACCAGGGACACTCCTGCAAAGCTTCTGCAGTCACAGGGGCTGAGCCCTAACAAGTGGGGAGCCAGGGACCCCACCCCAGAGCCGTGTGGCAAGCCAAGTGCAGAGCACTCACTCCCTGCCCCATCCCAGGGGGCTGAGGAGGGGTCGCCACCAGCAGGAAAGCCCTGTAGGAAACCTCCAGGACATCTGGCAGGCCCTGGTCCCCAGGCTCTGCACCAACCAGCACAGCTTTAGTCATATCTGCTCTTCCCCATTCTTTGTCCTGGGGACACACGAGCCAGTCCAGGAAACCCTGACTCCCTGCACACTCGGGCCAGCCCCAGGACCTAGAGTAGGCGTGGGAGGAAAGGGTGCACCCGCTTGGGTTCCCCCGTGGGCTCTCTTCCATCCTCTCCTGCATTCGCCCACCCAGTTCAGCTCCTCTAACATTCTGCAAGCACCTCTTGCAGGCTGTGGCCTCAAGGTCATGGTTGAATGCTAGGGCCGTCAGCTCAGATGACCTGGGTTCCAGTCCCAGGTCTAGCAAGGACCTTGGTCACACTCTTTGACACCTTGGTGCCTCTGGTTCCTCATGGACAAAACAGGGAGATTGGAGAGGAGAGAGCTTGTGTGCTGGCCTGTGGCTCCCGGGGCACCAGGTTGGCAGCTCTGGAGATCTGCCTCTGCCGTTTTCCTGCAGTGTCAGTTCCTGCCCAGGAGCAGGAAGGGAGTGGACACCCAGGGCTGCTGCTGCTGGCCTAGCACCCAGAGCACCCTCACGTCCTGAGTTGGGCACTGAGGCAGCCTGGCTGGATTGGCTTGTCCCGGTTCTTGCCGAAGGCAGCCAATGCCTACCCACGCCATCTCTTGGCACATGGGGGGGGGGGAGTGGGGAGAGGAGCAGTCCCTGGGCTGCAGATGGAGAGGCTGGGGAACGCTGCTGCAGGGTGGGTGTGTCTGGCGCAGGCTCACTGCCCCATCTTAACAGGGCCTCCCGGCTTCCCTCATTGTCACCTGACTGCTGACCACCTGCTCCTTCTCCGTCCTCCTGCCTCAGCTCTCCCTGCTGTTCTGCAGCCTGTGCTGTCAGCAGAACTGGGTTAGGCATGTCACCATGTCACTGCCTGGCTCAAAGACACAGACCCTTGGGGGCCTGAGCACAGTTAGATTCAAGTCACGGGAGATCCCACAGGCAGCATGTGCAGCTCAGGGAATGGGGCTGATGGCAGGAAAGCAGGCAGTAGGCTATGGTTTTCACCAGGTGAGTTAGGTGCAGCTGCGCTTCCGGCCGACTTGCAGTCCCAGGAGGGCCCTGGCCACAGGGTGCAGCCATGCTCACTGCCCCGTGGCGCAGGAGACTGCAGTCTGCAGCCCTTCCCCAGCTGGTCTTTATCTTCATGATTTTGACATCTGAAGAGTTAGTCTAGTGTTTTCTGGAAGGCCTCTCAGTTTGGGGCTGATCAGACCTGGATGGTGTGTTCTTGGCAAGAGCACCACAGTGGCAAGCGTGTCCTCGGTGTGTCTGTTCTGGCACTGCTGACATTACCTTTGACCTTGGCTTGGCTAGGGTGGCGTCTGCCCGGTCTCTCCCTAGTAGGCCATCATTGTACCTTATAGCTCATCACCTAAGATGAAATGCACATGTCAGTGCTTCATTCATAAAAAATCTTTTTAATGTGTTCAGTCTTTCTTTTTTTTAGATTTCAGTTCACATGACAGTGATGAAGTTCCTGCTTCTTTAATCCCCACTTTTTTTTTCCCCTCAAAATTTATTTTTGATATCTGCTGGCTCATTCCCTAGAAGTCCGCAGAGGCCAGGCTGGGCCAGGCTGGGCCAGGAGCTGGGCATTCCATCTGGGTCTCTCACATGGGTAGGATGCCAGCATCCCCTACCAGAGTCCTTTGGGCCGTCTCCTGCTGCTTTCCGAGGCACGCAAGCAAGGAGAAGAGGAGCACGGCCTCAGTCACCACTGCTGTATGGGATGCAGCATGGTTCTTTCCTCAGGTGCCCACACCAGCTGCACCTGAGCTGGACTGGGGCCAGGAGCCAGAACCTCTAAGCAGGGCCCCCGCCACTTGAGCCATCACCTGCTGCCTTCTGCAGTGTTCACAGGAAACTGGAAGCCGGTGGCACTGAGGCTTCAAGTCCGGCTCTCTGATACAGGATGTTGGTATCCAAGCTGAATGCCCATTCCTTGTGAATTTAGTTTTAAATAAGATTTTATTTTTATTTAAAAGTCAGTTACAGAGACAGAAGGAAAGAGAGATTTTCCATCCACTGGTTCACTCTCCAAATGGCCACAATGGCCAGAGCTGAGCTGGCCCAAAGCTGAGAGCCAGGAGCTTCTTCTGGATCTCCCACGGCAGCACAGGAGCCCATGGTCTTGGGCCATCCTCCACTGCCTTCCCAGGCCCTAAGCAGAGCATTGGATTAGAAGTGGCACAGCCAGGACATGAACTGGTGCCCATATAGGATGCCGGGGCCTCAGACAGAGAATTAACAACCTGTGCCATCATGCTAACTGCAATGAATTTATTTTTAAAAGAATGTTTATGTACCAGCACTGTGACACCAGCAACCATAAATGTGAGTCCTGGCTGCTGCCCTTCCCATCCAGCTCCCTGCGGAAAGCAGCAGCAGATGGCCCACGTGCTTGGGCACCAGCCATCATGTGGCACATCTGGATGGCATTTCCTGCCTCCCACTTAGAAGTGGGCCTGCCTTGGCCATTGCAGCCATTTCAAATAAATGGCATATGTACACCTTACAAAAAAAAAGGGAACATATTTATGTCACTGAAAAGAAAGCCATCACTTGACACAGTACCAGAGTCTTGAGCAGAAGCCCTGAAGCCAGTTGCACAGGGACCGGGCTATGACCTGCAGGCAGCAGTGCCAGGTCCTTTAGTCGTAGGACAGCCAGGTCCATCACTTGATCTGCGTGTACCAGGCTACTGCAGAAAGCTCAGGGAAAATGCTTATGATGAAATGGTTGCATCGATTTCCATCCTTTTTGGGCACTAGAATAAACTTTTTCTTGCGTTTTTTTTGGCCCATCCCTCCTATGGCATCCAGTGTTAGCTGAGCCCATCTACACGTGCCCAAAAGCCTGCTGCTTGGAGGCCTTGCAGGCCTGTGCCATCTTTGGCTGAAATCCCACCTCGCTGCACCCACACCTCAGGCAGGTAGACTTCTCCTAAAGCCTCTGAACAGGAGAGCCTGTCTGAGGGCACATGCTGGAGACCTGGGGCGATGAGTGACGTAGGTTGGCATTTAATACCTGGCTGCCACACCAGGAAGGGGATGTGGGGGCAGCAATGACAGGTCCCTGTGCATCCTGAGTGATGGGTCATGCTTGGGCAGCTGGGAACTCCGGAAAGCCTGCATTCCCAGCATTCCTCTCAGGAAGAGGCTGGGCTCAGTGGTTAAAAATAACTGCCCTCACCCCCCTGCGGTGCTTCCCTGTGAGGCTCCATGACAAAGGAGAAACTGAGGCATGGGAAGGTCGGGTGACTAGCCCTAGGCACCCAGCCATGATGTGAAGGCCTCGGGCCCACCAGTCACTGTGCTGGTGCCTGGGTGCTGTCTGGAGCATCCCCTGGCGGGGAGGCAGGGAACACGGGGAGGGCAGCAGTGACCACGGAACAGCAGCAGAGGGCACAGGCTCAGAGCTCCTGCCACTTGTCCTATTTGACAGTGCCAGGCTCAGGTTTGCAGGTCAGGGCATGGAGCTACAATTAAAAGTTTCATTTTCATTGTGTTTCTAGCATTACCTTGGATGCTGTTTTTTATTTTGAAGTGACATAAAGACTCCCTATAAAAATACAGAGTCGGGGCAGACATCATGTGCGTCAGCTGCCACTGGGATGCCGGCAGGCCCTGTCTGAGGGCCTGGTTCCAGTACAGCTTCCTGGTGGGCACATTCTTGGAGCAGTTGATGATGACTCACGTCCTTGGGTCCCTACCACTTGGCTGGGAGCCCTGGATGGATTTGCAGTGTCTGGCCTGGGCTGGCTCACCCCAGTCATTGTGGGGATTTAAGGAGTGACACAGCACATCTCAATTTTTCTCTGCCTTTCAAAAAAAAAAAAAAAAAAGCAAAGTGCATTGAGTAGTTTAGATAAAGTGCACTGATTTTTTACAATGTTTGATCCAAAGTTCAAATCTGAATACCAAAATGACCAGGAGTGGAAAATTCCACACCTGACTTCATTTGACAGGTTGCTGTCAAGACACAGGTTCATTAAGACTGTCTAAAATTCCTTTCAGGTTCTAAATGTAAGTGAATTTTGTGTTTGGCTTTGGGCCACATCTCTAAGATAAGGATAAGTAATGTGCAACTCATACTAAGGTGACAGTGCCCGTGGCTGTTGGATAAAGCAGACTCACAAAGACCGTGGGCACACGCCACCCCTCTGACAGGCCTCACAGTCCCAGGGTGGCAGGTCATACCTGAGTGAAGTCTGCTTTGGACACTTTGCTCAGCTGTCCAGTACAAGCAAAAGGAGCGGGGAGTTCTGAAAACCACTGTCTCTGAAGAAAAGCACTGCCACCTACAGAACGTGGGGCCAAGAGAATGCCCCTGCAGGTGCTGGGTTCTAGTTGGGAACCAACGTGGGGCTGATAGGACAGGCTGCTACAGCCTGCAGCCACGTACGTGTGCTGGGAATGAGCAGGTGCTTGGACAACACAAACAAGCCCCTTGGCACCACCACCATCCCTGTTTCCCACAGATTGCTTCTAAGAGATGGGGCAGTTTGCCTGAGGTCACACAGGTAGGAAGGGGCAGGGCCAGAGTTAGCCCCAGCAGGCCCACTCCTGATCTCAGCCAGCTGTCCAGAGGACGAGGATGGCGGGAGGCAGACTGCATGGCAGTGCACAGGGGACATGTGGGCCCTGTCCTCACTCCTGTGGATCCTAGCCTCAGTGACCTCCACAGAGGTATGGCCCGATTAACCATCACTTCTTAAAGCAGTTCTCACCCAGTGTCTGACAAAAAATGACCAGCCAGTGACCTGGCATCAAAGGCTATAGTTTCAGAAAGAAAATCCCACAATAGCAAGTGGCAGGAGGGTGGGGAGCCTGACACACCATGGTTCTGGGTCTTTGGGATCAGACCACAGCGCTCTGGATCTGGACGCTGCTTTGGACAAGCTGTGTGACCTTGCACAGCCAGCTTAACCTCTCTGAGCTCCATCTGAAAAGCAGGATGTACATTTGGAGGAATACGTGAACTAGGACATGAGAAGCAGTGCAAGGTGAAGGTGGAAAAGTACTCGGTAAAGGCAGCTGTCACCATGATTTCCTCTTGCAAATCAAAGAAGCGGATACTGGCCTATAGCGGTCAGCGTGGGTGCATCCCAGTGGGTCCTCTGGCCAGAGACTGAAACCTGGGCCACATGCAGGTCCCAGCACACTGTGTGACCTTGGGAGAGATCACTGCCTTACCAGGCCCCTTCGCTGAGATGTGGAGCACGCAGGACTGCCTCGTCCCCGAGCCTAAAGGGACACCAGCGGTGTTTTCTGCCACATCTGCCTACCACCCAATTATTTGCGTAGTTCTAGTCCTCTAAGTCTACTCTTGTTCCAAAATGTCTGGACGAGAGGAACTTGGCACCTGCTGCTATAAACAGGCAGACACAGTGACAGGAAGAGCAGAAGGAATCCAGTCCATCCCCGAGATGGCAGATGGGCCATGCCAGCAGCTGCCTGGGCCCTGTCATCACAGAAGTGGCAGAGGAGGGGGGCTCGAGGGCAACATCCGGGCAGGGGAGAGTAGCAGTCCTCCACATGGGAGGACACATTTGAGTAAACCCTTGTGCTGCAGGTTGCTCGAGGCCTGTACAAGGTCCCTGGAGGCGGGGACCAGCAAGCATACTCATGCTGGGATAAAAGAGGGACCCAAGGTCGCCTTTCTGGGAGGTAGTGCTCCCCTAGCTGTGGCTGCTTGCAGGTTCCTTGGGAGGAGTGTGGGGGCTAGGGAAGGCGTCTGGAGGGGCACATGCCCAGCTGGCCTTGAGAAGATGAGTTTGGCTCCTGCCTCCTACCTGCCCCCACCTAGCCTGACCCAAACACCAGGGGCTCCTGGGCCCGTCGTGCCCTGTCAGCCTGTCACTCCCCTGCTGCCTCGGCTGTCCTTTGTACCTCCATCCTTTGTTTCTTCCCATTGCTGTCATTGGGTATAGGACCTCACCAGGCTGATCGCGGCTCTCACGGGCCGAGTTTGTGCCGTGTTCGTGCTCATGGCTTTGTGCCTGACACCCTGGCAGTACAAGATCATTCTGTGTTTAGATCTTGGGTGGAACCAAGGCCTGATGTCTGAGCCAGGCTCTGCATGCCTCAGCTGAGCCTCCTCTAGCAAGCATTTGGCATCTGTGAACCTTAGTCCATCTGTAAAATGGGATCACAGCAGGATCTAACTCGGGCTTGCTGAGAAAGTGGAATAAAACCACCCAGGAACAGACCCAGGGATGAGGCTTCAAGTACAAGTTGGGGGTTGAGCAGGGAGGTCCCTGCTGCTGCAGCCTTGGAGCTTAGTCCAGCCCAGCTGTAGTGAGGGGGCTGAGGGACTGATCCAGTGAAGGGGTGTGGGGAAGACAGCTCTGCCTGCACTTGCAGCTTGGGGCCAGCATATGGTGAACTCGAGCAAAGAGGCAGGCAGATGGAAGGCGGCAGAGAAGCGTGTCAGTGGTCACTGTCAGGCAGGGTCAAGGCCACCACAGCCTCTGTAACCAGAAAGTGGTGGCTGCTCTGGTTGCAGTAGTCCTGCTCCTTACTGGCCCAGGGCTAGCTCCACCTCTCCCAGTCATGGAACCTCCATGTTTCAGCCTGTGAAAAGGGAAGATGGGCGGTTCTCGGAGGAAGTGACGCTGCTCCCTTTGCGGCCACAGGAACATTGCTGGGGGCACATTCTTTACTGCCATGGTAATGAGCTGCAACTGGTATTCAGTGTTTGGGTCCAGAAGCTAAGCACAGCAGGCCCAGAGGACACCCCCACAAGGGATGGGGCTATAGAGATGAATGCCACATCTGGGAGGCAGAGGCCAGCAAGGCCAGAAGTAGCTTGGTTATGGCCAGACCAGAGTTTTCCTGTAGGTTGTCAAGCACTTTCCAGGCAGGGCTGGAGGGGCTGCCAAGGACTTCCCAAGCTCGGAGATTGCTCCTTGCCCGAGCCTCAGGTCATCCAATAGAACTGGAAGCAGCAGCACCCCGGCCCACGTGAGGCTGTGCTGGGTTCTCCAGCCCAAGTCCTTAGTAATCAGGCAATTGAGTTTACAGGTTTGGGCAGCCTTCCATGTCCCACGTCAGAGCACCTGGCTTCTGACTCCAGCTTGGCTTCAGGGATGGCTCAAGTAATCCAGTTCCTGCCACCCCTATAGGAGACCTGAATCTAGCTCCCGGCTTCAGCCCGGCCCCACCTGGCCACTGCAGACACGTGGGGGCATAGCTGTCTGAGTGGTTCCCCGGGCTTGAGGGGGATTGGGAGAGTTCCCTGCCTATGCCAAACCCCTGGAAGCCTGGCAAGCCTGGCAGCAGCTGGTACCTCCACACTGGTAACGTTCCTTTTGCCTTTTTCCTAGACCTGCGCCCTTTGAAAGCTTTGTGCCAACAGAGAAGTTCCCATCCAGAACCAGAAGGGTGGAAGGAGAGATTGGGCCTGCCCCCACAGGCATGTAACGACTCTGTGCCCCTGCCACATTGCCAGGCCGGCCCAGTCTCGGCCTGTGACTGCGCAACAGCGATGGATGTTTACAGGAACCCAGCCAGTGTCTGCCTCCCTGCACCTGCTTCCACTTCGCCTTCAAACAGAGGACGCACACAAGAGCCACTCCCAGCTCCAACTGACAGCCTGGCCGGCCTCGGCCTAAGACAGGGACCCCCCTGAGGCACAGAAGCTGAGGGGTGGCGTAGCAGCTTGGGGTGGGCTCCCTGCTTACCCATTGCAAGTCACGTGTCCCTTATCAGGTTGGCAGAACCGACAAATGCACCATGTTGCTCCTCTGGCCAGAAATATATTTTTGAAACTATGAGTGGTGTGGATACTTGATTCCAACCAACCTGTAAAAGCAATACTTAGGAAGCTGACTTCTTCTGATTAAAAAAAAATAGTATGCAACTCCCACCCCTGGGGGCCCATTATACAACTGGGAGACCGAGGCTCAGGGAGGGAACTTGTAAACTGGGCTTTGGACTTGGACAGTCTTGCTCAGGAGTCCACAGCTGAGCCACAGACCTTCGGGCCTCATGAGCAGGAGAAGCTTAGCACAGCAATGAGCACGTGACAACCACAATCATTAAGGTTTATTGAGCAATTATGCCATCCCTTGCACATCAACTTGTTATATAAAAGGCATCACCGTGAACAGCCTCTGAATTCATACTCTCAGTTCCAAACAGACCAAGAGTAAGGTCCAGTCATGCCCACGTGGCTGATGGACGCAGCAGGTGCCTGAGCCAGGGCATGGCTCTGTGCTCATCCCTGGAGTCACACTCATGGACACCCCATGGGCTCCCGAGTGGGAGGGCAGGAATACCTCGAGGAGTGATGGCTTACACCTGGGTCACAGCCTTGATGGCCTTGTGGCTTAGCCGTGACAGAAGGCACCTGCCTCTCTGTAAGGAATACCAACCAGGCAGCTCATGCCAGACCCCCAAGACCCCTGATATCAGTTTTGACATGCTAGAAAGTGGAGCGGAATTTAGGAACCTGGCTGAATCCACGGGTATCAGGATTGGCCTGCAGGGGCTGAACAGACTGCTCCCAAGGCCACCGGGACAAACCCAGGCTGGCTCAGTGGGCACCTTTGACCTAACAGGCCATGCCCCAGTGAAAAGCAACAGCCATGCTGGCAGCTACCAGGTAGGAAGTGGTGCTGCCAAGTCCCTTCTGGCTGGCGGCAACTGCAGTAGGATTCCAGCTTGGCTGGGAACCAGCTCCCAGGATACAGCTGGGCTGCAGGGGTGGTGGGAGGAGCTCCCCTGCAGAGCTCATGAGGCTCCAGCCTCTCTGAGCCTCAAATAATGCACTTCCCACCAAGTCTAAGGAAGTCGCAAAGAAAAGACCTGCACCAAGGGACATTCCGCCACATGCATGCATGTGTCCGTGTGTGTGTGTGGGTGGCACTGTCCGGACAGACAGGGCTGGCATGCATGTGTCTGTGTCCCTGCCCGTGTGTGTGTGTGTGTGTACGTGTGTGTGCGTGGGGGGGGGGCACTATCAGGACAGACAGGGCTGGCATGAATGTGTCCGTGTCTGCCCGTGTGTGTGGGGCGACCACTGTCAGGACAGACAGGTCTGGCCCGTGGCTTCCAAGGACAGGTGATTGCTCCTCTGGCCTCCCTGCCCCCTTCTAGCTCCCTCCTGTCTCCTGGGTCCCCCCTGAGCCCAGACCCATGTAACCAGCTCCCCTGGTTGAATGTCCAGCATCACGGGCTGGACATTCAAGTGAATGATCCTCCAGGTGGCCCTGGGCCAGGCTAACCCTGCTGAGCCTAAAGAACAGGCATGTGGTTGAGTCAATGTAAGAGTGTGTGTTGCTGGAAGCCACTACATTTTGGGGTGACTTGATTGTATTAGGTAATCAGAAGAGTAGGTACCCCAAAATGGCAATCATGGTGCAATGCAAACCCTGCATCTATTGAATGAGACCTTCATAATGTAGTGGAGAAGGACACAGGGAATGAAGGCCCGAGGCCATGGCGGCCCAGTCTATCTCCCCTCACCTCTGTTAGTGTACTGCCAGCCGGGTCCCAGTTAAGGTCCAGCATGTCTGACCACACCCAGATCTGACCTTGGTCAACAAAGTTCGTGCAAACAGTGAGCGCCATGGACAGAGGCGGCCTCTGTTGTCTCCCAGCCTGTCCTGGTTGTAAAGCTGTCTCCCAGGGCCAAGCAGGCCTTGTTGGGACGTCTAGTCTAGCAGTGTTACATAGCTGAGCTTTCTCACCAGGCCGAGGGCCTGACCCGGCCATGGCTGTCTTCAGTGTTGTGAGGGGCCCACAGCAGCCAGCAGGCCCCTAGTCATCTGCCCGGCTTGCCACAGTTGAACAGGGCTGGCATCCACCTGGGCTCTGAAGGAGTTTGGAGCCAAGCCTGGTTCTGCCAGGAAAACAGATGAGGGAACTCCTCCCAGCTGACGAGGGGACAGGATGCCAAGGCCCATGGGAAGAGCTGTGTCCACAAGTCCCCAGTCCCGGGTGCAGGTGGTCAGTGTCTTCAGAGAATGAGCTGGGGAGGGAGGGGAAACAAGAGGGAGAGGATATCAGGGTGAGGATGGCAGGAGTGGTGCACAGCACAGATGGAGGAGAGGAGGGGTGGGGAGAGCGTGGGTGGATGTGTGGGTGCTCATCCTCACAGGGAGAGGCTGGGCCAGGTGAACACCAACGCATATGGCTGCGCCCTCCCTGCCCTTCCCAAGCCTCTAAGCCCGGCCACGGCGAGGACCCAGGGCTGGGCTGCCAAGGCCTGACGGATGGATGCTTGTACTCAGCCAGAGTGGAGACCAAGGTCCCTGCCCAGCCTGCCTTTAGGAATTCTGCCTTCACATGGCTGCACACCCCAGGGACCCCATGTCTGGCCCCTCTCAAGTGCCCCCCACCCAGCTACCTTGTCCAGGGCACAGCTGGGATCATCTCAGGCTGATGCGTGAGTCCAGCTGCTGCAGGTGTTCCTGGACACCAAAAGGGATGGTAGGCGTCCACATCCTGCAAGGGAGGGCACTCAGTGGCAAGGAGAGGGCAGGGAAGGCAGCCCCAAGCCCTTGCACTGATGCAGCCAGCGGCAAGGCCAAAGATCCCCGTCCCTTCTGCTGCTGACAGCCTGCATGACCCCAGAAAGGTTGCTTAAGTGACAAGGCTCTGTGCCTTGTCATGCTCATCTCAGAAGACCCACCCTGACCATCTTTGAGGGTACAAAAGATTAGAGTATAAAGTACCAGCACTGGGTGCTAGACATCATATTGACTTAATACAAAATGATCTCCACCTGTGGAATCAGTGACTTGCTGGGTACCAAGCGGTGGGAGGTAGGTGTTGCCACAGGGTTTATTTCTGCAGGCCAGACATTGTTCCAAGAGCTGAGCACGGCCTGGCTAATTAAACCTCATGGAACCTTGTAGGATAGATATTGTGATCAGGTCCATTTCACAAATGAGGAGTCAGGCCAGCTGGGGTCAGGGGCACCAGCACTGGGGGGCATAGCAGAGTTTGGGCTTTGGGGCTACCCTGGGCCCCATGCCTGCACAGCTCCAGGCTCTCACCCCTTCTCCCTCCCTCCAGGGGCCAGGACTTACGCCAGCGTCTCCACGTGAGGGCACTTCCTCAGGCTGGCGGCGAGCTGCTGGGCCCCGGCAGCTGTGAACTTGTTGTACTGGACGCTGGGGGGAGAAACCCATCCTGGGACCTGACCAAGGCCACCTGCCCCCTGCCCCCGGCCGGTCCTCCCCCGATGGCGGTGGGAAAGCCTCCAGCCTGCTGTCTCCTGGGCCTAGCCCTGCTGCCCAGACTTGCATACTCACTCCATCACCCGCAGGGACACCATGTCTGGAAGCACTTGGGCCAGGCTCCCGGCTCCCACGTCACAGATGCAATTATTATACAAGCTGTCAGGAACACAGGTTGGGGAAGGACTCGAGAGTGCTGGGGGTCAGGATCCAGGGGCACCCACGCTCAGCTAGGATTAGTGCCCCATCTTACAGAGGGGTAAACTGAGGCCCAAAGAATCAGGGCGGCCTCTCCATGGTAGCACAGGGAGTCTAGGCAAGTGGCAGGATAAAAGGGTTCCTGGCTGTCAGACAGCTCTTAGGGGAATGCCTTTCTGAGTTCAAATCCTAGCCATGTCTCTTTCTGCCTGGGTGATTGTGGGCAGTTTCCTTCACTCCATGCAGACACACTGTGCTCACTGGCACAACTGGGCCATCGGGGAGGAGTAAGTGAGCTGGTGCTGGCACAGCACCCAGCATGTCCTGGGCTTTGTGAGCTCCCTTCCCAGTGTGAGTCGTTATTTGAAGATGTTTAACCTATGTGTGCTCCTCTACTAACAACACAAGCAGCTGTGTGGCCTGTTCAAATCTGTCCCTAGTTGCCAGCACGGATGCTGTCTGGCCACGGTGCACGTGAGACAAAACTGAGCTTGGGCTGAACACAGCAGTCACACAGGCTGTAGGTCCTACAGGACACAGCCTACACACAGGTACATGGTGGTCCTGGTGACTGGTCCTGGCTGGACCACCATGTATGGACACCCCAGGAGGGATGCCCCAGATGCCGTCTTTCCTGGGGATCCATCTCTGTCTGTCCCTGTCCGTGGGAAGTTCCTCCCAGGTCAGAAAATGGAAAGAGTTCTGTCTCAAGCTCCGTTCTTCCTTAGTCTTCAGGATCACTCCAGGGAGCTGGGCCGAAAGGACGGGAAAGCACAAGGTGCTATGCCCAGGCCAACCACAAGGTGGCAGTGTCCTCACTGCCAGGAAGCCCTCTCCTCTGAGGAAAGACACTGTTTCCTGCCAACTGGGGCCATGGGGCCAGGTGCTTTTCTTCAGTCACTGGGCTAGCTCCCATTTTCTGGAATGAGTGAGGGACCTGTGCAGAGCTTCTGCCCTGGGGTTTGGCTGACCCTTTTGTTCAGGGATTTCAGGGTGACTTTGTGGGAGCCACATGGGGCTCCCTGCCCTTCCCCCCAGACAACCGCAGATCCTCACTCACCTCAGCCTGAGCAGGGATGCAGCAAGTGAGGGCAGGGCCTCGGCCAGCTTGCAGGCGCCCACATCAGTGATGCTATTCTGTGACAGGCTGCAGGGACACAGTGACAGTGAGGCCTTGAGATTGTGTGGCACTGCCCCCGTCTGTCAGCTTCCATCCACCCATCTGTCCAGACTGGACACGCTCCCTCACAGGCGCCCCAGGGTGGCCAGTGGATGACAGCTGACCTTGGGGACAGTGGTGAGTGAGGAAGTGTGAATGACAGAGGAGATTCACTAACCCTGTGACAAAGGGGGTGAGAGGGTGGAGAGAAATGGGGCCACGTGATTTCACGGGTGCTTCACCCATCTCCGATCTCGAAAGTCCAGAATAGCTAAAATCAATTTCACCGTTGTGTAGGTTTTAGTGAGAAATCCTAACCTGTTACCCTCACGCACGCCTGAGTGGAACTTCCTGCCACTGAGCACTGGCTGTTTCCAGGCCTGCATACTTAGGGGTGTGTATGTCTGCTCCGTGTGCCTTCCCCCGGGGAGCTGTGCAACGCCGCCAGGGGACTTGTCCTTTTTAAAGCTGAGACTGCAGAGCCTATGCCCGCGTGTAACAGGTGCCCCTGAAGAAGCTGCTGACTTCACAGATGACAGGATGAATGGATGACGAGAAGACTGAGTGAGTGAAGGAAGAGTTGAACGTGTTGTTGACTGAGTGAATGGACGGGCCAGCGGAAGACACAGAGAGTCAGCTGGACCTGGGGCAGAGGCAGCAGGAAGGGCAGGCCCCGCCCACTTACTTGAGTGTCTCGAGGGACTTCAGCTGTGGGAAGGTGGCTGCGAGCTGTGACACACCTTCATCCCCGATCTTGTTCTCACTCAGAGAATCCAGGCTGCAGGGGGGAATCAGATGGGAACCCCTGACCCTTCCTGGCCCAGCTCAGGATTCTTGTGGCCCTGGCCTGGGTGCAAACAAGCACAGGGCCCGCCTCCGAGCTGCTGGGGGCAGGCAGTCACTGCTGCCCAGTGAAGGACCAGAACCCTAGCTGTGCTTCACAGGAGTCCCGGGAGCTCGGACAGCTTCCTTCACTTCTCAGAAGCCTCACTGAGAGACAGGACTGAGTCCCCAGCCTCCCTGGGGGGCTGCCGAGGCCATGCAGCAGGATGAGTGTGAAAGCCCCCTCTACCCACTGAGGTCCCAAGCTTGTCTTGCTGCCGGGAGCCCCCCCTCCACCCACTTAGTGTGAAAGCCCCCTCCACCCACTGAGGTCCCAAGCTTGTCTTGCTGCAGTTCCGGGGCTGGGGCCTTAGGAGACGAAGTTTCAGACAGAGGCCAGGGTCTCCTCTCTGCACTGCCTCACGGACGGGCTGGGGACGAGGGCCGGGATCTACACTTACTCCAGATGCTGAAGCGAGGAAAAGGCTGTGAGGACCTTCACCAGTTTAGGAAAGGCTTGGGGGCCCGAGGTGGGCCCTAACCTAGGAGGCAAAGCGCACAGCTTAAACTCCGAGATATTCGTGGCACTGACTCAGTCCCAGGGGACCTCTCTCCCTGCCTCCCTCCCTCTGCCCACAGCGCCTTACAGCTCAGCGAGGCTCCGTACTGTGGGCTCCCAGTGCTCCTGTCTGAGCACAAAGCCAGCCCCTGCTTTGCCAGTCTCCCTCTCCTTCCACAGTGGTCTGGGGCAGGCGCTGCCAGGTGCCAGGTAGGGACCTCCCCCATGGCAGGCCAGATGGCTTGGTCACTAGTTTGCATCTTAGTGGACACTGACTCTCTGCCAGGCCCATGCCAGGCCCATGCCAGGCCCATGCCATCTGACGCAGACCTTTGAGCAGAGGGTTTTTCCTCTCTGCATTTTACAGATGGGCAAACTGGAGCACAGAAGACTCGCCTAACCCACCGCAGGCCACACAGCCTGCCTCGACATTTAGACTTTAGGAAATGAGAAACACCAGAACAAAGGGCTGTATCATTAAAACATAGCTAAGCATATTCAATATAAAGAATGGCGCTTTGTTCTTGGAATAACAACCTTCGACCTTCCTCAATATTCAAACAACCAGTGTCTGATGAAATGACAATGCCAGTGCTGGTTACCTTGGTCTGGATGCGTGTCCTTGAGACACATTAGAAGGAGACTCTCTCTCACTGGCTTTCATTCTGAAATGTCCCCAGTCACCGTGAAAGGCCCAGGAGGAACAGGGCTCCCACTGCGGGCCTGAGCAGAGCACGTGACTAGCGCCTGTCTCCTGAGCGGCCAGCCCTGGCATGAGGCTGGTACACAGCCTGAGGAACTCATCGTCAGACATTTACTGCTCTTCCTGCTGGGCCTGGCAGCCCAGAAGAGAGCTGTGAGCAAAGCCGACAGCAATCCTTGCCTTATCTGACATCCCGGATAAACCAAGCGATCGGTGCTGGCCCTACTGTGTGAGCTGGAGGCTGGTGTGGTTAGACTGCAGGACCACAGCAGGAGGGCAGGGAATTTCATTTGATTTACTCAAGGATTAAGAAAAAAGTCTTGCTGGGGACAGGTGTGGTGGTACAGCTAGTTAAGCCAACACCTGTTACTCTACCGCCCTGTATGAGCACCGACTGAAGTTCCGGCTGCTCCACTTCGGATCCAGTTCCATGTTAACGTGCTTGGGAAAGCAGTGGAAGATGGCCCAGGTACTTGGGTTCCTGAACCCATGCAGGAGACCAGCACGGAGCTCTAGGCTCCTGGCTTCGCTTGGCCCAGTCCTGGTCATTGTGGCCATCTGATGAATGAACCAGTAGCTGGAACACTGACGTCTCTCTATCACTCTGTCTCTCAAATAAAAACGGACACATTTGAAATAAGGCAGCATGAGAAGAAAATAAAAATAAATAAGGCAGGGGGAGGACTTTACTGAGTAAAGACCGGAATGAGGTGAGTGTGTGGGCCAGGCAGACAGCATGGCCAGTGCAAGGTGAGAGCCAGACCATGTCTGGTGAGGTTAAAACCAGCAAGGAGGTCCACGTGCCCAGAGCAGAGGGGGCGGGGAGGTAGTGCAGTAGAGCAGGGCCGAAGGTTGGGGGAGGGCTCTGAGCCTCGCAGCCTCACTGCCATGCCCCTTCGGTCTGCACCACGGGTTCCCGGCACCAGCACTGCCCAAAACAGGTGCCCCAAATAGTTCTTTGCTTCCTTCCTTCCTTCCTCAGAACCTTCTTGAGGCTTCCGGCGAATGGCTGGCTGGTTCCCGGCTCTAGCCCTCTTCTACCTCGTAGCTACTGTTCCCCAATGCGCAGTTCCGACCTGGGCTCGGGGCTTTTTAAGCTGAAAATAAACTTAAGCTGAAAAAAGGGGCCCTCGGGGACTGTGTCCAGACGTTTCCTCTTTTCAGCCACTCTTGCACCTCAAGTGTGGCCTCTTATTTCTGTCCATAACGAGAGATGCCGGGCTTTCTCCACGGGCGGGGCAGGGGACCATAACTAGGTGAGCCCTGAGCTGGTGGGCCGCACCTGGGGCCTGTGGCTGAGCGCTCACCCCGCCCGGTTTCCTCTTCTGTAAATGAGGAAGAAAGCTGCTCCCCAGAGCGGCTCTTGACACTGCCGGGAGGACATGTAAAACAGCCCGCATGCACCGGAGCTGGTTAATGATTTCTTCCTTGCCGCTAGATGCACTTGAATTTTCTGACTCTGACAATGTGCTCGCTCTGGGCCTCAGCATCCCCGGCTGTACAACGCAGTGATGGCCTGAGCTGAGAGGTCAAAGTGCTACGGCCAGACAGACCTGAACATGATTGTGGTTAGGACCTCTTATGTGCCCCACTGTCCTGGTCTGACTGGGACTGGCAGTGCCAAAAGCTCCTGGGAATTCTCTGGGCTGGCAGAGAACCCAGGCTTGAGTGGGAGTCTCTGCATGATAGAAACCTTTGAGGAGTCTGCTACACAGCCAGGCCTGGATGCTGGACAGGTACTGGGGGACGGAGAATGTTGTCGGCCAGGGCTGCCCTTGTGTCGACCCACATGCAGGCCTGGGGGTGGTCACGGCAACACCCTCCCGTGGGAAGCGGCAAGCAGGGTCCGTGTGGGGCTCTCTTCCTATCCCTGGAGCTACAATTTCTGGAAGGCCTTTCTTCATCTGGCCCATTCTTACTCCCTTGTTAAGCATCAGTACAGATGCCGCTTCCTCCAGGAAGTCTTCGTAAGTTGGTATTCTCATACTCCTGGATCTTCCTGCCACAAATCACAATTATATTAGTCTGTAAACTCAGTAAGGACAACAGCATCCCTGGGTTATCCACGCAGGGACTCTTGCATCTGCTGAGTGACTGGGAACAAGCAAGCTGAGCAGCATGTAGGCATCCCAGACTGCCCCTGCCACGGGAGGCAGAGTGACTGGGCTGGGGCACCCACCTCCATTCTGCTGGACCCCCTAAGTCCATGTGGCCCTTTGCTTACGCAAACTCCAGTTTCTTCAGGTCCCGGACAGCAGGGAGGTCTCCGGCTTCGTCTGTGGAGGTGCTTCTCATCCTAGAGGGACAGGTGATGTTAGGGGGCCTGCCTTCTGTCACTGCACCCCTCCCTCTCTGTCCCTGGAAGGACCACCTGCTATGGGGCAAGGGCCGCCTCTGTCCACGGGAGGACCGCATGCCACAGGGCGGGAGCCGTCTCTGCACTGAGAGGGGAAGCCTCAGGACAACGTGTCATGGAGAAGACCCTCCACGGAAGCCCTCACAGCACGGACCAGGGGCCCACCATGACACAGCTGCTGTGGATCGATCTGCTCTGCGCCCAGGACCCGGCCTGCCATCCAGACAGCAGAGACAGCATAGCTCTGCGCCCGGGACCCGGCCTGCCATCCAGACAGCAGAGACAGCATAGCTCTGCGCCCGGGACCCGGCCTGACATCCAGACAGCAGAGACAGCATAGCTCTGGGCCCCAAATGGTGACGGCAGACACCCCGTTACCAGATGTGAAAACACCTCGGGATTGCCCTGCAGGAAAGGGCCTCTGCGTGGCTATGGCTGGAAAGGACCTGGGTATATGATGGTCAGTGATGAACAGGAACAGGAAGCAGGGCTGTGCCTGGACACTGCCTGCCAGGAGGGCTGTGCCTGGACACTGCCTGCCAGGAGGGCTGTGCCTGGACACTGCCTGCCAGGAGGGCTGTGCCTGGACACTGCCTGCCAGGAGGGCTGTGCCTGGACACTGCCTGCCAGGAGGGCTATGCCTGGACACTGCCTGCCAGGAGGGCTGTGCCTGGACACTGCCTGCCAGGAGGGCTGTGCCTGGACACTGCCTGCCAGGAGGGCTCGGGACAGCTGCCAGCCAGGTAGACAGGGCAGAGATCTCCAAGGACAACAAGCACAGAGGGACCCACACCCAGCCTGCACGTCACCAAATTGCAGGATTCCGGCCCCTCACCTCTGGGTCTGCACAAGGTTGCCCAGGTCTTCCACATCCTTCAGCGACTTGGCTCGAAAAGGCTCAATGGTGAATTTCTCCTCGGCTGCATGGAGTAGCTTGGTCTCCCCACGCTGCTGCAGGGACTCCCACAGCCCCACTGTATCACTCAGGTTGGACCTGTGGAGGGATGGCCTCAGACCCAGGCCTGGTGGCTGGTCCAGACCACAACAAGAAGGCAACTCTAGGAAGGGAATCAGACCTTTCTTCCCCTCCTTAGCTCACCCGTTCCCTCCTCCAAAAAGCCTTCAATGACCACTCTAGCCTCTACTGGTTCTTCTTGTTCTTCAATTCTCCCTCTTGGTTTTGTTCTCCTTTTTGCTTTGGCTGCTAGGAAGCTCAGTACAACACTGTGAGCACAATCTGTAAGGACCCTAACAGCCTGGGTAAGATGCGTTCAGACAGAACGTGGGAATGATTCTCCCACACAGCGGAAGTGCTCCAGCACATTGCAGAAGGACTTAGACCAAAGGAGGGAGTTCAGATTTGACCCTGAGTTGGTGCTGAGCCCTCAAGGGACTGTAAAGAGGGGTGGGATGTGGTCAGGACTGGATGCTGGGAAGCCTGCTCTGCTGGCCGAGCAGCAGGTGGCATGCAGGTTGGGAGAATGGAAGAAGTGAGGGGAAGGCTGTGGCCTTAATCCACTCCGAGAAATGCAAGCTCGATTCGGGGGTAAGAAGAAAGCACACAGGGACCCAGCCCTCTCTTGGGCGCTAGACAGGGCCGGGGCCTGGCAGCCTTCAGACACTGGGTAGAAGACAGACACTTCCCCTCGCCACCAGCGAGGCATGGGACAAGCACCTGCCCTGCTTGGAGTTCTTGGAGTCTCTGTCACCTCAAACAAGGGGGACTCCATTCTGCCCGTCTTAAATGAGACACAGGGTGGACCCACAGCCGTCCCTGGCTCCTACCTGAAACTGCCGACATGGGTGAGTCCCACAAGGCTAGCCAGCCCGCAGGGATCAATGCCAGTACTGCGGAGGTCCAGGGAGAAGTCTCGGCCAGCCGCCTCCAAGGCCCTAGCCAGCACGTGCACGTCGGGGGGTGTGAGCCGGGTGCCCAGGAACGAGAGGCGGGCGGGAAGTTCCCGCACCACATGCTGCCAGATGCCAGCCTCCTCGGCCTCGTGGGCACAGTGCAGCAGCTCCAGCAGCCGCCGTGCCCTCAGTGTCCCTGGCTGCAGCCTCTTCAGGTATCTTGTGAGCACTTTCTGCTTCCGGTCCACCACGGTGGCTGCCTCAGACCCCATGAGGGCACCCAAGCAGCGGGCATGAGGCTGGAAGAGGAGCCCAGTGAGGAAGCGCGGCACACCCTCCAACCAGTTGTCATAGGGCCTCTTCTTCCTCGGGGTCAGCGCCAAATACTGTGGTAGCTCCTTGTCCTTGACCTCGCAGCTCAGCGCTAGCCATATGGCACCCAGGAAGCACTGCAGGAGGAAGCTGGGGAAGGCCAGCTCAGCTTCCGTGGCACCTGGGCCTGGTTGCACCAAGCCCCTGGCCACGGCCCACGTCCTGAGCTCCTCTGATGGGAAGTGACCCTTTTGCAGTGTACTCTGGTGCCTTCTGCCTGATTCCCAGGCCAGCCTGGCCAGTCCCAGCAGGGCGCCTGGGGGGCCAGCCCTGATGGCAGGGCCCAGCAGCTCCACGTAGAGTCCCGTGAGTGTGGAGGGCAGCGGGGCCCTGTCTCCCCGCTCCAGAGAGGCCTGCGCCAGCTGGCAGGCCACCCGGCACAGGGTTGGGCTGTGGCAGTGACTGAGCAGGAACGGCCGGTCCCGCAGGAGTGTCAGGGCTTGCTCTCGCTGCTCAGGGGCTCCGGAACGCTCAAAGTAGCATGCCACATAGGCCTGGGCCTGCTCAGCTGAGAAACCAGCCAGCTCAAACAGGGCGTCGGCCTTGCTCAGGCTCTGGCCCAAGCGGCCCCGCAGCCGGGCCATGAGGAGCAAGGTGCAGCCTGGCAGCAGCTTGCGCTGCAAGAGACCAGCCAACAGCCCCCGGAGGGAACAGGGCTCTGAGGCCCCAAGGCCACCCACGCTGGGCAGAAAGCCCTCCTGGGCTTCAAGCTCCTCGAAGGCATCCAGGATGAGCAGAACACGCTCAGGCCTCCTCAGTACATGGCTGAAGACCTCGTCATCCACTGCCAGCGATGACGACTCTGGAGACAGAAGCAGGTCGCGTAGGCGGTAGGTGTCCCCGGGGCGGTCCAAGCAGTGGCAGGGGATATGGAAGACAAAGTCGAACTGTGGGAGCTGGCTGCGGGCCCAGGCCCGACCCACGGCCCAGGCCCAGTGGCTCTTCCCCTGTCCGGCCCTACCCAGCACGGCGATGATGCGTGTCTCTCGTGGCCGCCGGTGTTTGCCAGCAGCCAGAAGCACCTCAGCCGGACCCCCGTGGGCCAGCTGCCTCTCAGCCCAGTCCAGCGTGGCCAGTTCCCTGTCCTGGCTCTTGGTGCCATTCCTCTCCAGCTGTGCCCTCACCAGAGCCACCTCCATCTGGATGCCATCTGGGCCTTCAGGCTCAGCCTGGAACTTGTCCTGCAGTGAGTGCCAGAGCTGCCTCACTGGCTCTGAAAAAGGCAAGGAGGCTGTGAGGATGGGGGAGGCATACTGCAGGGCAGGCCCTGTCTCCAGCCTCCTCATTCGCCCCCCAGGCCTCTGCCTCCGTTAGCCCAGAGCCCACTCACTCATTAGCACACTCACACAGCATCGTGTTCATCCCCTCCTTTTGCAACTCCTCTTACTCTTACACTCACTGACCTTCTGGCTGTTCTCTCAGTATAAAGAAGTGTGTGGGGGTGTGTGTGTGCAAGCAGCCCATGTGTCTGGCTTCAAATCCTGGCTCTGCCACGTGCCCATGTGAAACTGAGTGCACTGCATACCTCACCAAACCTCAGGATCCTCTTCTGTTAAATGGGAGTAAGGTTGGGGCTGTTGGAGACACTATTGACTTAATATCACGAATGTGCGTGGACAGACCCCTGGGAGTAGTCAGCCATTTAGCCGTTCTCTTATTCCCACCTTCCACCATTCCCAGCCCATCATCTGATTCCTTCCTCCACCTTCTCTATCTCCACCCTCTGCTCCGTCATTCTCAGCTTCCCACACAAGACAGCAGCTCCTGGTGTGGACATAACCAAGGGAGCATGAGTGAACACAGGAAGCCAACACCAGAGGGGCTGAACAGCCAGAGAAAGAGCAAGTGAAGCCCTTCACCCAGGACAGAAGACCTGTCACCCGCCACTGACCAGGCCACTTTGGAAGCTTGCTGGAGACCTCCCGAGGTTCCTGGGATTCGGTCGGATGCATACCGTCTTCTGGAGATGGAGGAGCAGTGTCAGAGTTGGGTGGGAGTTCCCCAGGGCCTCCCCCATTTCCTCCAGGCCTCAGTGCATCCCGCAGACAGAGCATACATGGGCTACGGCTCCAGGAACAAGAGCATACAGGAAGCTGCTCAAAGGTGCCGTTCTTTGGTAAGCTATACTTAAAAAATTCAGCTGTGCTCAAGAAACCATGGCATCTAGTGCAAACTGGGATTTGCAGCTTCAGAAGCTCTGAGCAGGCTGGGCCTGTTGCCCTGCATGTAACCAGCAGCCAGATGCTGGTGACCCTGGATGGGTGGGACATTGATTCTCCAGCTATCCTCTTCCCACTTCCTGCAGACCCTGGCCTGGTTTTATTCACAAACACGATCACCAGGGAGCGCTGGCCCTGGGCCTGGCTCTGGCTCCCAGGAACCCTCACTGACCCTGTGGCTTGTTACCTATTATGTCTGCACGGGAGGTCAGGGCTGGCTCAGGCATGCTGGGCAGGTCCGCCGAAGATGGAGCGAACGGGCTGGTGGAGCCAGGTCGGTCTGGGGACTTCGGGAGGCTGTGGACAGCGGGGCTGCTGGGAGGCGGTGCCTGGCTGGCCTGGGGCAGCTTGCCTTTGTTAGGGGTGGAGAGAGGTTTAAGAATAAGCACACACCCATCCAGGGCCTCGCTCAGATCCACTAGCCCCAAAGTAGGCTCAGGAGCCTGACCAGTCTGCACAGAGGGGAGGGGGACTTGCAAAGCAAGATGTTTCAGCAGGACACTGAGGGCGCTCACCTGCCAGAGCCTCGGCCTCCTCAGCAGTGAAAGGGACCCAGCTCCTTGCGAACCCAGGCCTGGCCCCACCCTGGCCCTCTTCCCATTGTGGGGCCAGGTCCCGTGGCCCTGGACACTGGAAACCACTCCCTTGCCTGTGGGCTCCAGTGCGTTAGACAGACACTGGCATGCCCCAACAAAGGGACTCTTTTTAAAGATTGATTGATTGATTTGAAAGGCAAGGGTGGAGGAGAGAGGAAGGGAAAGACAGAGAAAGAAGAATCTTTCATCTTTCCTAAATGCTCCACTTGGACCATCTTCTGCTGCCTTTGCAGGACCATTAGAACACTGGATCAGGAGCAGCAAACTGGGATTGGAGCAGCCATTCGGACATGGGTGTCATAAGCAGTTTAACCTGCTGTTTCACACAACCACCCCAGGACACTCTAGGTCTGACTGCAAAGACCCTCTTGAAAGCCCAGACATGCCTTCCCTAGGAAAGCCACAGCCCCTCAGTGTGCTGGGTCAGTGGGGACTGCTAAACTTCAGGAAACAAGACAGTTCTGTGAAAGCTGTGCAAGGACGCATGCCAGTCTGTTCACAGTGCTCAACTCAAGAGGAAGGCACTCGGGTGACTCTTACAAGTGTCTCTCATTGTTTGGCTTGTGGATGAGCATGTGGTAATGTTGCAATTTGAAAACATTAACAGAGTTTTTAAGAAAAGGAAGGAAAACATGGAAGGTCATTCAGGCACTCCAGACCAGCACACAAAGCCTGGCTCCTCTGCTCTGATTTTTGAAAGATGGTTACAAGGAAAGCTGTGCTAGAGAGATTATGAGAAAGTGCTAGGTTCCAACTGCTGAATACAGCCAGAGAGAAGGGGTCAGGCAGCAGCCAGGTGGTGGTGCAGGGTGTTGGCCTGGGGAAAAAACCTTGCACACTCACCATGACAGATGAATACACTGGAGATGCCATTCCCAGCCCCTGGGATTTGCCAGAGCCACTGGGGTGGAGTGGAGAGAGTGGGGATGAATTGGATGGGTCCAGCAGCGAGGTTCGTGCAGCTCAAGGAGGGGGATGCTGCAAGAAACAAACACAGTGAGGGAGGAACTTCCCTGACACTCACCTTGTGGTTCTGCTTGGTGATTGTTCAGTTCATGCCTGACTCCCCTGTAGCACTCCAGCTTCCCCTAGAGCAGCAGCTGCTGCCATCTCTCATATCTAGCAATGTGGCTGGCACAGAGCTGACACCTGGATGGGGTCCCTCCAGGTGTACCAAGCACCCCATCTCCTCCATCAGAATGGGAACTCCCTGAGGGCAGGACCACTTCACTCTGAGACCTTCGTGGACACAGGAGCTGTCTCTGCTACAGGACTGGGCCTTTCTGAGGGCAGGGCCTTTGCTTGCTCTATCAGACTTGGAGCCTGTCATTTCTCGGCCTGTTCTCCACATGAGGATGAAAGTGGCTGGGACACTGGGGGTATGACATGCATGGGGCATTCCTGCTGCCTGCCTGGACCCCAGTGACCTCCCAGCAGAGGAAGCCCTCCCTCACCACTCTGAGTACCAGGTGTCTGGATGGTTTCCTCCCGGCAGGCATGGCTGGATGCGGGCTCCTGGCTGAGCGGGGCAGGTGGCGGTAGACAGGGCTGGGCTGAGGCATCCGTTATTGGCCCCACCAGGAAACTGCCTGTCACCCCAGGCACCGTAGGAGGTTCAGCTGTGAAGGGGACAATGGAAGAGGTTGGGTAACATCATCTGGGAGTCTGGAGGGGCTCTCCTGGGGTGTGGCAGGGATCCTTTCCTGGTAGCTGGAGGAAGCCCTGGTGGCAGAGCTGATCCCCCTGCCCCAGCCCTGAGCTTGACACACAGGGCCTAAGGGCTTCCTGAGCAGGCCACCAGGGCCCCACAGGATGGGGAGAGCAGGAGAGCAGGTGGGCAGAACAGGAGCTATAAAAGGCTGCTAGTTTCCATCCCTCCCACCTTCTTCAAGCAGCCATGAGTCCTTCAGGGGTCTCTTGGAGGCTCTGAGTATTCGAACTTCATCCAGAGAATGGCAGGGCTGTACCATGCACCTGTCCCTTCCAAGACTTGAGGCAAGGGATCAATGTCACCCCTTCAATGGGAGATTTTAGATGGGAGGGACGTGCCTCTCTCATCAGCATGCTGGTCCTGGAAATCAGAGTTCCTGTCTCCCCCGTAGACTTGGAACTCTCTGAGGTCTGGGACCACTTCACCCTCTGGGGGTCTTCGTGCACAGAGGGCCTGTGCCCACCACTAGACTGGGCCTCTCTGAGAGCAGGGCTTTTGATTGCTCTATTCCTCAGTCTGTCTTCCACATGAGAGGAGGCGGTCACTCAGCGAGGGTCCTGGGTGACTCGCTGACCCCAGGGGGCTCAGCACACTGGAACAAGTGTGGCCTGAAGGGGCAGCAGAATGGCGGTGCGGGTCTCAGCACTCACTCAGGGGAAGCAGGAGGGGCTGTTGGGGGAGGGGCTTTGGAGCAGAGGGTGCATCTCCCAGCAGCCCTCACACTGCAGATCTTGGCTGGATACCCAAGGTCCTGGTTTGAGTCCCCCCTCTCACCAGACGTGTGGGCTTGGACATGGGACTTCACCTCTCTGACCCTCATTCAATGCCAGTTTACATAGGTACTAGAGACCACAGCTTCTCTGCCTCCAGTGCCCCCTGGATCCCCAGGCCTGGCTCACCTAGCTTCCGCTGCTTCAGGTCCACAGGACACTCCTCTGGGAAGGCTGCAGAAAGAACAGCATGGTCAACTGCCTAAGCCATGAGGGTGCACAGACCTGGCAGGCCACGTGGCCTTGCCTCTGAGGTCAGGATATGGCGTGCCCTACCTCCAAACCTCCCAGCCCCTAACTCTTTGGCTTGAGCTGATATCGTGCTACTCCAGAATCCCATTATCAGACTCCCTTCTACTCCACCTATGATCCAGCACTCTGGGAAAGCAACAGAAGATGGCCCATGTACTTGGTCCCCTGTCACCCATATAGGGAGATCCAGATGGACTCCAGTTCTTGGCTTAGAAGAGCTCTCTCTCTCTTTTTCTCTCTCTCTCTCCCTCCCTCCACCTCCCTTCCTCCACCTCCCTCTCTCTCTGTCATTGCCTTTTAAACAAATAATTAAAAAAAAAAGAAAATTAATGAATAGATACAGAGCTTATATGTGAACCAGCACTTACTTAGGAAGTACTCAATTAACTGTTGTGCCCACTGTACTGCTACTTTCGTTCAACAGATCTCTATTGAGTTGCAATTGCACACCAGGGACTGTGCTACATTTCAAAGATGTAGTGATGAGCAAGAAAGACAAGGTCCCTTTCCTCACAGTATAACTAGTGCAGACTGCAACAAGTGCTAGGGTCTAATGAAACAAATAAGATAAGAATAAGCAAGAAACCTGTGTGGAAAGAGTGGCAGGAGAGGCTTTGAGGAAGAGTGACACTTCAGCCAAGACCTAAAGGATTTGAAGGAAGAACTGGTAGAGAGAAAAACACAAAGGCCCTTGGCCTACAACGTGTACACGGGCTGTACGGAAGGAAGCCAGCGTGGCTATATCCAGTGGCTCTTGGTGAGTCTGGAGTGGGGGAAGGGCCAGCTCTTGAGGCCTTGTGCGCCTTTCATACAAGACACTAACTGGAAAGCTGACAGGGGAGCAAAGTGATCTGTGTGCTCTAAAAGGGTCCCCTTGGCTGTCACATGAAGAGGGAAAGTGGGCTGGAGGCTCCGATGGATACAAGTATCAGCAAAGGTCATACAGGTCATAAAGAGAAGATCCAGGATCCTAGCTCTGTTCTTGCTGATGCTGGAGTCTATGGCACAGCCTCAGAGGCACAGCCACTGAGGAAGAGCCCAAATCCAAGGTCCTGGGAATGACAGCCAAAGCAGCCAGGGGCACGGGTTTGCCAGGAGAGCAGCTCTGTACCCAGGCCACCTCTTTCCTCCTGGGTTTCCAGCAAGAGAGGGGTGGGGATCCCAAACCACTGGGTGAGGCAGACAAGTCAATGGAAGAAGGGCTGTGGGCACAGCAATGGCTTGGGAGGGGCTCACTCACGTCTCTTCTGACTCTCCTGCACCGCTTCCACTGGCACCTCCGCGTTCTCACCAATCATGTCGTCTGATCCTATGTGTTCTACTTTGGAGAAAAAACAGACACCGACAGTCAGAATCAATGGAGGTTCTAGGCCAGCCTTGCCTGTCCTCCCTACAATGGGGAGAGGGGGCTGACCAGCCAGCCAGGATGGTCATCAGATGTAATGGCACCCTCCCAAAGAATAAGGAAGCAAATGCAGGCTGAGCCAAGAACGCCCCCATTTCCACCCCAACTTACTGAAAATATCTTTGCTCAGGCCCTCCAGCTGGGAGTCCTGGAACACATACTGGTCCAGTTCCGCTGCCCAGAGAAGGAAAAGCAGTCAGTCAACAGTGTCACTCTGAAGCCTGCTGTGTGCCAGGCTTAGGCTAGGCATGCAACCTGGCACACCGGGAGGACTCCATAAATGATTGCTGAGGGCACACATGATCAACTGAGTGAATGACCATTGACCCTATCAGAGCTCTGAATCCAGCTGAACAGGTAAAGTGAATATCCATGGAAACCTGCCTACTGCTGTGAAGTAGGTTGGCACAGGGCTTGAATTCAAATTCCATCTCTGCTCTCCACTGACTCCACCAGCTGTGCAACCTTGGGCCAGCTACTTAACTTCTCTGGGTTCCCATTTCCTCATTTTTGTAAGAATAAAAATAGTTCTTACTACTTAGGGATGGGTGAGATGATTACAGGCTCTGCATTTAAAGAATTCAGCACAGTAAACATATGCAGTAGGCACCCAATAAATGGTTACTGATACCAAGTGGCTCACAGTTTGGAGCCAATGGGAAAACGCTATGGCAGGGCATCAGAGACAAGAATGTATATTGGGTAGGGCAATCAGGGACGACCTCCCAGAGGAAAGGATCCTGGAGTCAGGCCTTGAAAGATGGGGCAGAGTGTGAGAGGAGGGTGGAGGGTTCTCTGGGTAATGGAGATAGAGAGGAAAAGCAAAGAGGTATGTCTGGGAAATTTCAAGAGATGGATGACCACAGTGGAAGTTTCAAGTTGGGAGAAATTAGGACTTGGATTTTTTAAAAGTTTTATTTGGGAGGGAGGGAGGCAGGGAAGGAGATAGGCAAGGGGTTGGGGATGAGACAGAGAGAAAGATTGTTCAAATTTACTGGCTCACTCCTCAGTAAGCCTGCAAAAGCTAGGGTTGGGGCTGAGCCATGTTAAAGACAGAAGCTGGGAACTCAATCTAGGCATCCTCTGCATGAGCCATCCCCTCCTGGCCCCACGGTATACGTTAGCTGGAAGAATTGGAATTGGGAGCTGAGACCTGAACCTGGACACTGCTAGACGGGATGCAGGCACCTGAAGCAGAGTCATCACCACCAGCCTAAACACCTGGCCACCAGTTCAGTTTTACGGGTAACAGGCAGTTATGGATACCATCTAAGCTGAGGAATGAAACGATGGCAAAAACAAGGCTAATGATGAGGTTGGTGGGGTGTACGTAACACCTCCTGAAACTCCCTTTTGAACTATCTTACCATGGTAGTTTACTTCACCTTCACAGGCATTCCTATGAGGCTATCGTGAAGTGGTCATCCATATCGAAGCCATGATAACAGCTCGGGGATTCCTTCAATGACTGCTCACCCAGAGAGAGAGTCTTCGAGGACAAGGGGAAGACCCACAGCCACTAGCTGTTCAGAACAGTTTCCTCCTCCTGAGGAGAGCCCCAAGGAGTGCAGTGCCCTGCTCCTCAGATCCTCTGGGATGCCTGGATCTTTGCAGCCCTGCCCCAGCACTTCTGCTGTCCCCAGGCAAATCTGAGGCCTGGAAGGAACTAGGCAGACTCTAGAGTTCTGTCATTTCGGAATCACAGTCACCACTCCTCCCTATTCTCTGCCTTTAGGTGTCATTGGATTAACTGTGCCCTCAGGACAAACTGGTCACATCCATGCCAACTACGGCCCTCCTGACTGATGTAGTCCCTGGGTTGCCAGAAGAGGGTTTAGGAAGGACAGTGTGCAGGTTGTTCCTTGTACAGGGGTGCCCAGCCAAGAGGGCAGATGGTGAGATGCACTGTACTCCACCAGTGCGGTTGCGTTTCTGGGTTTGGAGTTATATTCTCTACCAGAAGGGGCACCTCTTTCTAAGTCCACCAAGGCTCTTAGGAAACAGTGGTGATTCGGGTGGGGAGGCATCCTCTACCCTAGAAACCCTCAAAAAGGGGGAAAAAAAAAGAAATACCAGCAGCTACAGCAACAACACTTGTGCCTCTCCCCTGACAGTTCTGCCCCTGTCTGAAAGCCATTCGTGTTTGAAGGCTTCTCAACCACGACTGCTGCATATCTCCCAACCACAGGCACATTCCTGTGCTAAATTCAGGAAACCCTGAAAAGAACTGGTTACAAGTCCAGACCCTCTCACTGCCCAGCACCATCTGGAGTTTGCTGTGGATAGCCAGCTGCGTCTCTTGAATTTCAATTTCCTTATCTGTGAACTAGAGGTCCCCCTGGTACCAATGCCCTTCGCTGTTCAATGCCCTACTTAATGCATGGACAGTAATGAATGTACCCAATAAGTGACAGATCTTACACATGTAAGAGTAGTGTGGCATAGAGCTGGGGTGTGGGAAGAATGGAGATGCGGTGCATGCTATTTACACCTTATGAGGAGGAAAGAGAAAGAAGAGCAGATGCAGAGGTAGGTACAGAGGTGGAGGGTGCGAGGGAATCATGTTTGCCCCTCCCATTTCCCTGTCTGCTCTTCGTCCACTGCGTCCCTGAAGGCTCTGTTCTCCAGGCCCTTGTTCTGCATCCCCCCGCTATGACTTCTGAGAGGGTCTTGCTGTGGCTGAGAGTAACAGGCGAGAACCAAGAATTTTTCTCCAGGTAGTTCTTTCTTCACTCACCGATGTTGGCATAAGCCTCCCTGGTCTCTTCATCACCTTCAATGTCACACAGCAACCTGCTGAACTGGTCACAGTTGATGGTGTCTGTGTAGGGTTCTGGAAGAAAAAGCACTTTGGATGAAGCAGGAGAGACAGGAGAGGGATTGTGTGGAAGGTGGGAAAGGCAGGCGGACTGGCAGGGATGTGGGAGAGCTGTCCATGGTGCTGACCATTGCTTAGAGACCTGTGCTTCCCTTGGCTGCAGACTGGCTGTACGGTTACACTGGGGAGGAACCTGAAACGTGACAGAGGAGAACAGCCCACCTGAGCAAAGCTCAATCTCTTCTTCTGCAGCCAGGCTGATCTGGTCGTAGAAGTGGTACAGGTGCAAGGGATCAGCATCACTGTTGAGAAGTTCCAGGTACCTCCCTTCCAGAGACCCCAACTCCATGGTGGCACACGATCCACCACCTGCAAAAGAAGCCTCATGTGGTCACCTCATGCTGTGGCAAAGCATTCTCACCTGCAACAGTCCCCCAGCGAGGAAGCAGCCTGATTCTTGTGCTCCAGGTGGTGGGGACAGGAATTTGAGTTTGAATCCTGGCTGTGAGACCTTAGACACAAAGTGTGCCCTCTCTAAATACCAGTTTTCCAACTATTAGATCTGGGGAAGGACCCTCAAAAGGACAAGAGTGGCTCCATGGGGTCCTGCCCATGGTCACAGGAAGCTTGCTATGTTGGGCACATCAGAGCTGGAGCATGGGCCTGAGATGGGGCTCCCTGCCTGGATCTCCTCACAGTGCCATGTGTCTTCTATTTGTGACAAGATCTTGGATATTGGCATGGGTCTTCCTAGTGTCCACAGAGCCTCATCTTCTATGTTTCTAGATGCTTAGCAAAGTTTTGAAGGTCCCTCAACTGGGCTCTTGCCCCACCTGCAACTTCAGAGCAAGGTGGGGGCAGACCATACAAGCCAGAGCCTGGAGAAGGTGGGGACCCTGTCTGTACAGGTCACTGACCCCAGCCTGCTGCATGCTCCTGTACATGGATGGCTCTCTCCATCCACAGGGCATGTTCTAGCTGAAATCCACAGGTGTCTGCTGTGTGCCAGGCAGTACATACATAGCAGGATTTCTAGAAATTACTCAACTGGGTTCATTTGCATTGCTATCTTCAGATAAAGGAAAATAAGCTCAGAGAGGAGGGCAGTGAGCAAGACTGTGAACAAACCAACCAGCTTCAAAGGCCTGACTCCTTCCACGACCTCTTTGAGTGGCTCTAAGTGTCCCTAGGGAGATGTCTTCCCCCAGTCAGGGAGGGCACCGGGTGTCAAGGTGCTTTCTCCTCCCGCCAAGCTGTTCTGGGTGTAAAAGAGGAGTGCCTTTTTGGTAAATGAGCAGTATTTTTAGAAGATCCTTTTTTAAACCACTCTTCTCCTGGGCCACCCCTGCCACACTGAACTCAAGAGGACAAAATGTTTCTCATTGTTTTGCCACCGCAAGTCCTTTTGGGGCTTGTTTTCCAACCACACTTCACACTGACAGTATTAAAGAAAGTTCTGAAATAAAATTCATTTTTCTCTCCTCTGAGAGAAATCCAGCGCTGCCAGAAAAGGTCTAACTCAGACCTAATCAACCTGACAACTGGTTTGTTACGGCCTTTCCGACCATCTGCCTGCCAGCCGCGCTCTGCTGACGGGGCTCTTGTGTGTCTTGGGCTGTGATGCATGTCCTGCATTTTCTGGTTTGCTTCCATCACTACAACATCTCTGGACACTGGCATTGTTACACCTATTTTACAGATGACACGGAGGCCAGGCTTTCTTTCCAGAAAAAGGATTGGAGTAGCCATCTATCCTGGAGGTACTCCAAGGAAGAAAATGCTGCTTTTCTACCAAGAAACCTTTCTGGTTTGCACTGTGACCAGACTGTGAGAAGAAACCCTTCCTTGCCTGTTGACTACAACTCCTGGGACAGTAACGGAAAAATCTCCCAAACTTAAAAGACCGTTTGGGTTCCAAGTTCTGCCTTTGTCCTTCACTGCATGCCTTTATCCACTCAGCCTCACCAGCTGTGTGCAGAAGCAAGGTGTGTTGCGATTCAGATTCCTTGCCACCTGCCTGTCTTCTTTCCCTGATGGTCCCTCTAAAACCACTCTGTTCCCCAAGCATGACCAGCTGCTTGCAGAGGTCAGATGGTGATGGGAAACCAGGAGCGCAGGGATGCCTGACTGTCCAACCATCCCCATATGCCTTTGCCACAGAGGCATTAGTTAGGATAGCTTCCTTTTTCTCTTCTGTACCTGTGGGCCTCTGTGCAAATTTTTCCTCTCAAAATCTGTAAAACAATAATTTATACACTATCTCCTCAGTTCCCCCCAGGGATCCCAAAGAGACTTAAAATACAGTCCTTGCCGAGCCATGGCTGGGCTGTAATATCCAACAACAAGAACCAGCTTGGGTCGAAAGCCAGTCAGGAACTGGGCTAGGGCTGGCTCATGGACCCACTGGCATGCGCAAAATCCGGCACTGGGAGAGGTTCTGATGGAGGAGCCTGGGCAACTCCTCTGGCAGGACACAGACCCCATGGGTAAGCGCAAAAAGCATGAATGGAAACAGCCCAGAGCAGGCCACAAGAAGTTTCCCACTGGCATACATTAGGCATGGATTGGGGGCCGACCAGGCTAATCAGTTAATCATCACTGGCAAATCCGAGCACCAGAACAGAGTAAGGGTCGAGCCAGGTTTGGTTGCGATAAAAACCAGTCCACACTACAGAAAGCCACGAGGAGGTTGACTGTGCCGGATGTGACTGCAGTGCCCATCCAGCACATGTGAGAAACAGGAGGGGAGGGAACAGCCAGCGGGTGAATAAGGGGAGGTTCCCCTGCTGGACAGCTACTCCCACTGGAGAGCATGAACTGGGATGGGGGCAGACCAGACTAAGCAGGGCTACAACACCTGTGCGCCTCATGTGGACTAGACCAGGGAAAAGCCAGGATGGGTTGATTGTTCCTATGGGTGCAACCTACAATTAGAATGGAAGAGGGCTGTTTGGGCATAGCCGTAGCATCAGCTGGCAGAAACTGGCACTGAGGGCTAATCCTGTCAAGTTAAACCACAGAACCACCTGGAGAGTGCACAATCCGGGAGTGAGAGACCTGGGAGGGAAATAGTGGGTTCCCCCCTCTTGGGTTACCACTGCCACGGGAAGGCACGAGAACTAGGACAGGGGCTGGGGTAGCTAGACAGAGAGGCACTCAACCACACCCGTGAAGGCTTGACTGTTGAGCTGGGTAGATGGATCCAAGCTTCAATGCCATTTGTCATGTACGAGAACCAGGGGGGATGTGGCTCAGATTGGACTGGTCTGCCATACATACTGGCAAACCAGGGTAGGGGGTTGGCCTGGTGGGGGTTATTGTGGGCCGCTCTCATCAGGATGCAGCTCCCACTGGTTTAGGTGAAGACCAAGTATGTGCTGTGCAGAACCAGGCTGGACTGCATCACCCATTGGTTCCAGTAGAAGACGGGGCTGAAAACAGAACCAACCCAGCAATTGCAACTACCAGCTGACCAGGTGATGGACTGTGCTGGGCCCTGTGCTTGCTGGTGCATACAAGTATCTGGCCTGGGAACACCTCAGACGAAGTTTCTTTGGTGATCTACCCAACTGAAATGCCAGAACCCTAACCATGAAGGGACAGAAGATGGAACAAGTTAATCAACCACCTCAGCTATAGGTTGGCAACAAAATACCGGGCAAATAGAGACGCTATGATGGACAATGTCAATTAATGGATTTATCAACAACCTCATCGTGTTTGGAGAGGCAAGATTGGCAGCAATTTCAAAACTGGTGACCTATTGAAACCACTTCAATGAGTATCTCGGAGCACGCCCCACATGCGGGACTTGGGGTGGGTGGGAAATCAGGTGGGGCTTCTCCCTCAATATCCCCCTGTACCTCAGATATATGAAGGAAACAATATGGAAATAATAGTCTTACCCACTTTCCTGTAACCCTTGACCCTTTATGCACAAATTAACCATGTAAAGATTGTTAAAATAAAAAATATTAAAAAAAAATACAGTCCTTGCCAATAAATCTGCAATGTAGACCCAGGCATTCGTGTTTAAGAATGTGGACTCTGGGTTCAGATTCCCAGTCCACACCAACTGTGTGACCTGGTGTAAATTACTCAACCTCCCTGAGTCACAGAATCCACTGCACTTGGTGGGCATTGCCACCTGCTGTCACTTGATATTGTGCAACTGGAAAAATTAGGAATGTCAAGTGTTGGTCATACAGGGGGCTGCAGAATGATGGGGGTGCAGAATGAAACAGCCACTTCAGTAACAAGCTGGCATGGCTGAGAAAACCTAAGAATGCACAGCTAAAACAGCCTAGTAATCCAGTCCTCAGATACATGTATCACAAACACTCCCACATCTACACAAGGGGAGGAGGATGCTCTGGTTATTATTATTATTATTCTTATTTACAATATTTATTTGAAAGGAAGAAACACAGGCAGAGATTGACATCTGCTGGTTTACTCCTCAAATGCCAGCAACAGCCATGGCTGTGCCAGGCCAAAGTCAGGACCTTGCAACATCATCCAGGTCTCTCACATGGTCTCTCAAGAACTTGAGTGTTATCCACTGCTTTCCTAGGTGCATTGGCAGGAAGCTGGATCAGAAGTGCAGTGGCTACTACTTGAACCAGCACTCCGATATGAGACATGGGCATCCCAAATGCCAGCTTAACATACTGCCACTACACCAGCCCCAAGGATCCCCCATTTCTGCATTGTTGTGGTCACAGGGAGTTGGGAGACTACGTGGGTGTCCAACACCGAAGGGATGCAAAGGTAGGGTAGAAAGTAGCTGCTGAACTCCAAGGAGGCCAATGCATTGGTTGAGATCAAAGACCAAACGCAGATAGCTCTTCAGAGCATCCACAGAAGGGAAACATGAAGTATTGGGCAACTCTCAGAGCCAGAAATCCAGATGTGCAGGCTGACACATGTGCACGGACAAAGCAACACATAGTTTTCAAAAAACCAAAGTGTATGCCTGCAATGCATCAGAATGGGTGCCTCAAGCACGGGAACGAGGGAGGTGAGAAAGGGAATAAATGAATCACAATGCCTCAAGGGATCAAAGGACATAGTGCTACGAAACAAACTGTGCAATGAACTCAAAGTTGAAAGGTTCTGCGATTCAAAAGGAAAGAAAACACAAAAAACCAAAGTGGCAGTAAAGACGCCCCTTGGAGTGGAGGTGCTTCTGTGACTCAGCAGCAGAGCAAGCACAGAGCCTGGTCTCCACAGGCGCTTGAAAAGGGGTCCTGCCAAGGATCCAGGGCTAAGTTGATCTGTGCCAGGAGCCCTCAGTCCTGGGAAGAGGACAGGAACATGGCACTGTGGGAGCCAGGCACCATCTGCAACCAAGAAAGCCCCAGCTCTCT